TCAGTGCGTGTTACGGCCGGCACAATATCACAGCAGAAATTAAGTTGGATTATGTAACACTTTCTCTCATAATAAAACATATTCCTGTCTACCACTTTGTTTTCTTGTAATATTTTAAGTCGGGGTACACCCTTTCTAAAAATATAAAACACCACATGATGCTCTCAACCAGTCTGACGGCAAAATCTGTAGGTGAGATGTTACAGTCACCACTTGCATGCCAGAAATGGATGGATGGAGAAGATGGTGGAATGGAAAATGTCTTGCCTGTACTTGACAGACATGGTGTGTTTTCTTTACTTTTGCAGGGACACTGCTGGGCTGTTTGACAATAGCGCTTGGGTTCTACCGCATTTGGTCACACTGACATCAGATTTGAAAGTCAATGTTATTGTGTCCTGTTTTACCAGGTAAATCCAAGGGTGGATGGGGGGCCATTTCCCCCAAAGCGAACTCCCCCCTTTAATAATGAGCAAGAGGCAAATTATTCTGTCTTTTTTATACATATGATAAGCCCCCAAATGAAAGGATTCACAAAGAAAAAAATTCAAATTTTTAAAACACAAGTTTCCCCCCCCCAAAAAAAAAAAANTCAATGTGTGTTATGGCTGGCACAATATCACGGCAGAAATTAAGTTGGATTATGTAACACTTTCTCTAATAATAAAACATATATTCCTGTGTACCACTTTGTTTTCTTGTAATATTTTAAGTCAGGTTATACCCTTTCTAAAAATATGCTGATTTCATCCTATACATTCTGAGAAAAGCTTACCACAAAATTGGGGAATTTTGCCTCGTTAAAACTTCGTTTCTGCTTGAAATCGATAAATGAAGAAGATTTATTCATCCAAACGAATAGATTTAAGCACCGCGTCGGCGCGTCGTCTCAGCATAACCACGGCTGCATTGTACATGCTGCATGCTGCAACGCGTGTCATGTGGTCGCGAGTTTTTTCGAGAAAGTCGAGAGCACCTGCGGGGGTAATAACAATCCGTAACACGCATGGAACCAAGGTTGCACATGTGTTTGCACTGGGGCTGCTCACGGTTGCACATCCCTGGGTAAACGGTCTGTGATCCTACCCTTCTGCGCCCGAAAATATGTGCACAATGAATGCATGAGTAAGCTGTCGGACACAAGTCCCTAGTTGCTGATGGAACTTTGATTTCTACAAGCATTGTTTAATATGACAAATACCACATGATGTTCTCAACCAGTGTGACGGCAAAATCTGTAGGTGAGATGTTACAGTCACCACTTGCATGCCAGAAATGGATGGATGGAGAAGATGGTGGAATGGAAAATGTCTTGCATGTACTTGACAGACATGGTATGTTTTCTTTACTTTTGCAGGGACACTGCTGGGCTGTTTGACAATAGCGCTTGGGTTCTACCGCATTTGGTCACACTGACATCAGATTTGACAGTCAATGTTATTGTGTCCTGTTTTACCAGGTAAATCCAAGGGTAGATGGGGGGCCATTTCCCCCAAAGCGAACTCCCCCCTTTAATAATGAGCAAGAGGCAAATTATTCTGTCTTTTTCATACATATAAGCCCCCAAATGAAAGGATTCACAAAGAAAAAAATTCAAATTTTTAAAACACAAGTTTCCCCCCCCCAAAAAAAATTTGTGTTTGATCTGTCCTTTGGTGTACATTTATATGCACTTGCCATAAACTTGCCACAAATTTTGTCCAAACATACCAGGACATAAACAACTCGGACCTGTAAGTGACAAAGTGTGATACCCAGACTATTCATCTCGTGGTCCTTCAAGTGAAAACTGGTTCAAATGCTGAAGAGAAAAACCTGAAGGTTCATATCGTAAAAGTTGGTTAGGTGGTTGGTTGGTTGGTTTGTTAGCAGTAGTACTGTACAATGGAGTGACTTGTGGTCCAGGAGTGGGACTTTTCAGGCTTTACCCCAAAAGAATCGGCTTCAAGATTCAATTGACCATTGCCATTTGTGAAGGAACTCATGCCTTGTTGACCGGAAAAAATCCTGAAAGTAATTGAATCTTGTTAATTTTGAAGTCAAAATCCCTATGCTAGATCTTTTGTGGAATCTGTTTCACCCCCCTAATCTAACCTCTGGGATAACTTTTTAACTGTGATAACTTTGGGATTGTACAGAGATAGTTTTTAAATGTGTAAATTTAAGTTGATTCAATGCATTGTTACTATGTGATTCAGAAACACCGTACCATGAAAAGGAGGGGCACAAAGGGTGTTTGTAAGTTTAGGAAAATTTCACCCTTACCAAGGTTAGCTGGGTCAACTGGCCATTCCTGAAATCGCTAAAATTTGTTTTGTGATAAATGTTTTCACGTAATGATTCGGTATTATTGCCACTAGTGTATATTCCCCTTCCAAGTCTCGTACATTTTCCCCAAGGTAACCAGCAGCTGCTTCATATTACTACAACACATTTCAGGCTCATGACTCGGAGATCTTGTTGACAAATTCTCGCTGGTTTCTCGAACTCATGGATAACTACAACCTGATTATTTCTAAGTGACTGTAGTTAAGCACAGCTTAACGAATTTTGGTTGGCAGGCTTAATAAGTGCAAGAGGTATCTAATAAGTTATAACCGTTTTATGTATAATATTCATACTTGCATTATTTATATCAGTTATTTTTCTGATCATTTATTTTTGAAAGCAGAAATTCATTGTAATATGGTTAAAACCTATGATATCTTCAGTGAACCAGTAAGTGGACATTGCTATTTGACATTTAACGAGAAGTGGAAATAATACTGATTGGAACTGTATTGTATGAGATCCTTCCCTTTTTTCACTGTGGGAAATGTGATTCAAATTGGTGATATTTCTGTGGGATACTTGTATGTTACAAGGTTTTGCAGAACATCTCATATGCAGAATTTCCCAGTAAAACATGGGGAAATGTGTTTTATAAGTGGTATAAAAATAGAAAACAAAACAAAAAATTGTATTTGATGAAGGTTAATAAAGCTTGATGTAAAGAATAGATCATTCAGATCCTTTACCTTATAAAGTTCCTTGACCTTCATTAGGGTTCGTGTATGTAACAGTAATTAGAATTACCAATATGACCTAAGCAATTATCAATAAAATGGCACCTTAAAGGAGCTCCATGATCAAGGACAAACTGGTATCTGCAGCCAATTATTGGACCTAGTTGAGACTTCTTTTCAAAATGTGAAACTTATATTTGGTTTGAACAAAACTGGGTTATTCACACTGTGTGGAAACCCCCTCGAAGGACCCCCTGTTGAACCCTGGTAGGAGACCTCTCCCAAATTATACAATTTCAAAACGTGAAATATACTATTTCTAAGCTTTTTTGATGAGAAATATTTTCCCAAGTTCATTCATTTTATGAGATCCAGTCTTTTTTTCAAGTTTCTTTTCACAAGTCTGGTTTTTGTTTTTTAGAAACATTGTTTCAATTCTTGGGGAAAAAGTTTCCATTAGAGAATTTTTTGCAAAGTTAGTTTGTGTGCTATTTTTTTGTCTTCATGAGACGTATAAAATCTGACATCTGAGGGCAAAGCAGACAAAAATGCTATTGGAAAATTGTCCAAAGAGTCTGAGAAAGTGGAGGGATGTCATTTGAAAATGGCTGCTGGCAGACTTGGGAACGTTCACTTTTGGGGAGGTGAGTTCGTTTTTGGTGGATAATTAAAGATCATTTTTTGGTTAACCTACTAAAATTTGAAATTCAATTGAAATCTGAAGGACCAGGCAACACACTGTTTTTGTTTGAGAGGCCTCAGGGACTTCGGTTGCCCGCAATGGGTTTCCGAACTTACACATTTCAATGGGGTGAACGTTAGTGCAGTGCAACCACATAAATGTATGGTGGTCAAAAGTGGACATGCAAGAGTGTAGGATACTGCAGCATGAGAGGTCTCGCAGTACGTATGTACGGTGAGCTTAAATAACCATCCATGTTACTGCGTTACTGAGAGAATATATCGCTGAAACAGAGAAACATACACTTGTGTTTCCACTCAGAGTTACAGTTGAATTCCGTGTTTCTGGGATAATTTATCTTTAAAATCAGCGTTAACTGGTGTATCTTTCTTTATTTCAACGATGTTAAATGTATACTTATTGTAACGGCCGTCGTCAAAACCTCCCATACCCGTACCCCGGGTCTTGCTCAGTGACGGTCGGTCCCGGCGGTTGAAGGCCACACTGAGGACCTGGCGACGACTAGACCGTTCAGGGGTTTTAACAGCAGTGACGAGCGGCAGTCAGTTTAGGACTAGTAATTATTTAGAGGATGAGTGGACATGGGATTCTGTGGATTACCTGTGGATTTTGTGTACTGGGAAGTTTGTGGATTATATGTGCCTGTGGTCTTTGTGGATGTACCTGTGGACTGGACAACAAGAAAATGGACACAGTGAAGCTATTTGGACTTATGTTCTGTCCTGACTTCCCATCTTTTTAGGATCACTTCTGGAAGTGAAGTTTTATGTTGTTTTGTTTTAATGGCGCTTTCAGCAACTCGGGCTATTTTCGCCAATAATTGTACGTTTATTCGTAAACTTCATTAATCAGCATCACATTACGGAGTTAGGTGCAGTTTTAGGGGCAGGAGGAAACCGGAGTGCCCGGAGAAAACCTGCGAGAGCGAGTATGGTCTGGAAACCAAATGCATTTAAAGCCTGGGCCAAGCCGGGACTGGAACCCGGGCCTCATTGGTGCAAAGCGAGGAAAGAACCGCGCCAACCCGCTCCCCCCTGTGAAGTTTTACTCTTCATGCACTGCGTTTTACAGGCCACAACAGTCCCTATGCATGCCTTCACATCAATTGCCCAAACAATTCTGATTGGCTGGCGCGTTTACATTAAACGGGTCAGCCAATCAGAATGCAGAATTGCCCAGCAGCCCTCTTGCTGTTTAAAACGTATAGTTGGTGATTCACACATGGCACGTGCACTTACATTTACTTTAATTTCAGGATGACCAGATTTAAAAAGTTCGTTATGACTGTAATCTGCCATATGTCCCCCCCCCCCGAAAAAAAACCCAGTCGAGCAATTGCGCAATGTGACGTGCAACAGATGTCGTGTTAGTGTGTGACCGTGACGGGAGTGGGAGCAGTGTAACCACCGCGGGCGCCTGTCACGTCGAGGGGTGCTTCGGAGATTAAAGTGCTTGTGGTGGGCTTGGGCGCGGTGCCTCTGCACACTGTACCGTAGCATGGAGGAATAAAACACATGACCGTAGCCAAGGCCTACATGCTGACAAAAGCCAAGGAAGGTAACCTATAACTTCACTCTGGTGAGAGATTCTTGTGTTTACAGGGAATCACTTAAAACGTTGAAGGGGAGCGAATAAAATAAAATTGACTGCTCGACCTAGGAAAGGCTAAGTCTTCGACATCTTTGCTATAGTATAGGACCCCCTCGAAGTCCTCACTGTTTGGAATAGGACCCACCTAGCTCATTAGATTAGACCAATGTCCTGCTCATCGTGTAACCTGACATTGTGATGGATTTACGTATTGGCATTCAATGCATTCACTTTATTCATAACCATGAAAACCGGAGGCTTGCCGTCAAACCGTGTGAATGCTTATGGTCTAATGTCCGGAAATTGGGCACCACAGTAGACGTACGGCGATGTGGCCGAGGGCGGTCACTAGCACTATGGAGGGAAAGAGTTCCATGTAGTCAGACAACACTTGAGGCCCTGTGCAGAGACCTATGAGACTTGTCTGAAAAAAATGTGTTTTCTGAGTAAATGTCCTTAAAATCTTCTTTCCCCATTATTTTCTGCACAAGAGCAGACCATGTAACTCCATGGCTAGCATACATGTATGTAACTGCACGAGGCTGCCACATTGGAAGTTCCAGGTACTGCTGTACAGTTACAGCTGTGTGTATGTACATGTATCTACCCCGAGAACTGGCGTGACTATTTTGTTTCCCCAAAAAACTGTTCAAGTAGGCCTATGGAGCAGTCTTCATTAGATTGTCATTGATTGTCCTTCATCAGCATTTTTTAGTCGAAACTACAAAACCATTATTTCAATTATAACCTCCCCCCAAAAATCAAATTTGTTACTGTGGGTACCACTTTCCTGAGGGCCTCTTTGTTTACCTCTCTGTTTTTCCTGTGAGTGGCTTCTAAAACTATGTATGGGGGCTTTTGTTGTCAGATGACAGTCTAAGTAAAAAAAAAACCCACCCCCTAAACACCTCACAACATGACAATGTGCATTGTTTTGGTGTGTATATACTCACATGTAACGTATGTAATGAATGTATGTGATATGAGGAAAGACAGAGTGCAACATGAGCGATTCACAACAGGGCACCTCCCAAGAGTTTGTAATGCGTTTGCCAATCACAATGTGAGGAATTGTTGACCCAATGTTTGGAAAGGGTCGACACTGCCACAGATTTTTTGATTAGCCAGCGTGTTGCAAACTGGTGCACTATCCTGCTGACACTCGGAATTAACGGAATGAGAGAACTTTCTAAATACAGTGTATTGCATTTATTCAGAGTGTAAAATAGCTGAAAAATCAAGACAAACATTTCAGCTGATAAAGTTGGAAATGCAACACCACTTTAGGCTGGAAGGATTGCGTGATATCTGTTTGATCATGGCCATCTGTTGCTGATATCGAGTTGTGAATGAAAACTTGCCCTAAATTTGTTTTTTTTTTTTAGCAAGCGCCCGTTCTTCAATTACCCACTGGTGCCTGTAATGCTGCGATCTCACACCACCCAACTGTTCTTGAAGTGCTCTCAGAATGGCTAAAGTTGCTCTCTTTCACACTATCATGCCGATATGTTTGATGTTGGTTAGTCCCATAGCTGCACAGGAAAGTACACGTAAGTAAAAGAAATCCTAAGAGGTGGCAATTCTTTCCGTTTCCATGCATTTTTATTTATTTAGCAGTAGGCAACATTTAGGTACATGTAACTACAAGGTTAGTAGACAATGAATAAAAACAATTGAACTTGCATGTCCACAAGGTACTGTGTATGGAAAACGTAGCAAAGCTGCCTCAGATTCTGGTTGTTGTATTTGTCATTTTCCTCCTGTGTACTTGTAACATGTATTGCTCAACTCCTGAAACTGGAAATGGTGTCCCAAACTTGCTGGTGTGACCTCTCATTATGGGCAATATGCCACTCCAGGCGTGCATATACAATGTACATGTAACTGCTGGGGGTGCTCTTGTATACATGTACATGTATGTGTGTGATAGCACACAGTGCTATGATGTACAATGTACATGTACAATGTACAGTGTACAGTATACATGTACCAGTACATGTATGTATTGTAGTTACATGTATGCGTCAATCAGTTAGCACAGACATGACAGATCAGGCAGAATGAAGGTTGCCCACAGCTTTGGGAAGTTAGACCTTGTGTGTGAATCAGTGAAGATCGAGTGCCACTGCACCCATATGGGAACAGTCCAGACAGTGGACTGTAAATGAGTGCACTGAACCAATTCAAGCTCCATTGAAAATAGTGTAAAATCAACCAAGTTTGGAGCCTCATGGCAGGCAACTGAAGTCCCTGAAGCCTCTCGAACAAAAAACAATGTGTTGTTTGGTCCTTCAGATTTCATTTGATTTTCAATTTTTAGTAGGTTAACCAATGAGTTTTTTAATTATCCGCCCAAAACAAACTCACCCCCCCCAAAAAGAATGTTGCCAAGCCTTCCCAGCAGCCATTTTTCAAATGACATCCCTCACCTTCCTCAAGCTCTTCTGACAAATTTTCAATCCCATTTTTGTCTGCATTGCCCCCAGATGAGTGCTACAGAGATGATTCTGGGCCATACTGACACAATCCCACCATTTCTTGGCCCAAACAGACCCCTCTTTTCAAAACAATCTCTGGGTACTTTTTGTGCGCCTCGGCCTGGCGGAGAATTTTCCTTGAATTGAGACACTGCACCCTTTACATGTACATGTATAATGCACACTTTCCCGCTCCATGGATAACCTGACAGTCTGAGACCTATACAGTCTCATGGGGAGTCAGGTTGAAACAGTGTTTTTTTTCCTCGCCTTCCACCTCTGGGGGCCTGGGTTCGAATCCAGCTTGGTCCACATGTGGACCTGGTTTTCAGTCCCTACCTGAGTCTGTGGGTTTACCCCGCAACATTTATCCAGGGTTTTCTTCCCATGCACCTCTGAAACTGAACATTTCTTCATTGTCTTCATCTCTCATTATCATCCTGTAATTGGCACTACATGTATGATCAGAAACATGTATCGATAAATAAAAACACCTTCAAGCACTTTACGAGGCAGATGTGAGGGGTGGTTGTGGAAAAATTACATGTGCTGTACTTGCAAGGAGAGCTCTTCTGCTTACTTGGTGGATGGCTGTGACCAAGGGACCGCATGCTTGCTTCAAGCATGCTTTAAGGGACCAAGGCCCCCACATACCAAGACTGGCTATTCAAAATATTTATGATGATGATGCGTTTTAGGCTCCCCCTGGTTGGTCCGGCCTCCCCACTCTGATAACCCACCTATCACTCATCAGCTGCAACAGATACTGATCAAATAGCCACTGACTGAGTATGAAACCTTTTGCCATTAATTGGTAAAAGGAGATATTTCAGTGTATAAAATTACCGGCTGCGACAAGTCAATTCGGTATTTCAACAGCATACAGTGAGGTGTGTCATGGGACAGATATTCCTTTCCTGTCTGACTTTAATTCACATGGTTGATGATTGTTTCTACGTGTAGAAGGGTGTGTAAAAAAGGAACAAGTTATGTGAAAGTCAAATTCAATCATATGTGTTTATTGTCTGACATGTTATGGTTCATGGTGTTTTCTTATACCCAGAAATGTATGGAACCCAAGCATGGACCATATCATAAAAGGCAACTCTTTGGGCATGCTGCGGTATTTTATTTTTTCAGTTATGTAGGAAAGATGGTTGGACCCAAACTAAATTCCATTAACCCTTAATTTCTTGTAATACGGATGTTTCACAACAGCACCCCTCTAAAGAGTTTGCATCGCGTTGGCCAATCACAGTGTGCAAAATCTGTCAATCCAATGGACAGGATCGACAGATTTCATGCATTGTGATTGGCCAATGCATTCCAAACTCTTGGAGGCACAAATCGCCTGTACTGTGGCAGTTTTCTGTCATAAAGTAATAATGCCACAGTTGTTTGAGCCCATACCCAGCAAGGCATCGGTGCTTGTCAACACACCTCATGCACTTGTTTATTTTCAGGGTTACAGAATTTTGTTAAAGGAAGATGGAAACGAACAAACCAACTTGAAATGGAAGCCAACAATTGATCTGTCTCAATATGCTGATAAACAATGGATATTGGCTACAAGCCAGAGAAACCGATGCTTCTCCAACTGAGCTGTATTGCTCTATTTGTAAATCTTCATGAATTTTATGTTTTTTTGATGACTGTTGCTGAAATAATGGAAATGAAAACGAAATTGGTCAAAATAGAATTTATTGAACCTGTTCGGCCCCTCCCAAAGAAAAAGAGGCGTGACTTCAAAAGAGATTTATTGGAAAACAAATTCCACCTTTTATTAATTATCGTGTTCATAGTGGGCAGCTTGTAAGTCATTTTAACAGAACATGTCACATTAATGTATGCTGACAACTCATATTGCCCTGTTGACCATAAGTTCCTCCTTCAATGTCCTAGTTTATGAAGCACGCCTTGCTGATGGACCCTACCCCAACCAGGGTCGCTTGGAGGTGCGCTTCAATACCATTTGGGGCACTGTCTGTGATGATGACTGGGACATTAAGGATGCTGAAGTGGTATGCGGCCAGCTAGGCTTCCCCTCAGCCGTGGCTGCTCTCAGTGGTAAAGACACTGTCAGTCTGTATGGACAGGGAAGAGGGTCGATCTTCTTGTATGACGTGGACTGTAACAGCACCGAGGAGAACATTGGCTATTGCGGGCTGGATTACCCAATAGACCACATATGCGATCATTCTGAAGATGCCGGCGTGGTTTGCTACAGCGAGAATTACCCGAGTGATGACCCACGGCCTGGTAAGAATTCTGATGCTTAGGGTTGATGTCAGGTACATGTAGCTGTATTACATGCTGACAGGGGGATGTTGGCTGTCCACTGCTGGATATATTTTGAACTGGTATGAGGTTCTGCTTTCAGCAGGGGTGTGAGAATTCAGCTTTTAGCTGATTTCAGCTTTTTTTGTTTTAGATGTTGACCCTGAATATCAGCTTTTTCATACACCCGGTCTGTACAAAAGTATAAAATCTTTTACATTTCAGCTTTTTGCTAGCTGTTTTCAGCTTTAATTTTAAGTGGCCACTCAAACCCCTGATTCAGGTTAACTCTAACCGTCTCGGAATTCAGAAAAAAGTTACCTGACAATTTTTTTTTGAAGAGTTTTACTTGATTGAAGAAGGAAGAGCCCACTGTTAAGATCTGTTTGGTGAAAATATCCATTTCTATTGGTGAAAATCATAATTCCGAGCTTGTTTCAACTTCATATTTACCATGGTCAGTTGTTTTAAATTGGAAAGGTGGTCAGCCTATTAATGGATTCCATCAAATAAGGTTTGTGGTTAAATAAATTAGGCCAAAAAATAAGCCTGCCATTGTAGTTGTTAATTCTTGTGGCAGTTACATAGACATGTTTATACTCGCTCGTTCTAAGCATTATTGAAGGCTTCTAGGCAGGCCACACAACCGAAGTAATCTGTCACATGATTTGGGATGTGTTGGGAAGCCTTGTGGACCTTGGACGTAGCCTTTTTTTGCACAGCTTCTATGTCAGCTGTGCCAAAAAAGTCTTAAGGTATGTTACTGGTTAGTAAGTGCGAGTGACCTAACTTGGTGAGTTGAGTCACTACTGTTGTGACTTCTTACAAAGGAAATACCTCATGTTCTCCCACTGCTTTCACCCACAGCCCAAGAATATGATCTGCGGTTGGTTGGCGGCTCATCCTATAGGGAGGGACGGTTGGAGATTTTCTTCCAGGGAGAATGGGGAACAGTGTGCAGTGTATTGAATATGCCAGAGGCATCTGTGGTTTGTCGTCAGCTAGGGTTCCCTTATGCATCTGGAGTCCAGTCCTTTGGGCACGGCGAAGGAACTTTAGTCATTGATGACTTGAATTGTAACGGCGATGAGGCCAGTATACTAGAGTGTTATCACAATGTGCTGGGCCTGACGAACTGTAACCACGTGAGGGATGTTGGAGTCATCTGCTCCGACGTTCTCAGCACAGAGATACCAACGACATACAGTCCTGGTAAGTTTGACAGAAATCATTTCAGCCTGTCCATGGACAAGGAGCTCGCGAAAGCTGAAATCCAGTGTGATCATCAGTCTGAGGCCACAAACCAATTCAGACTTCTAACTTTCCATTGGCACATGTATATGAAAGATTTGTTTCATTGTGAATACTGTGCACATGTCTAAGGGAACATTTGAAAATAAATGTTCACATGTTCTTGCAGTTAAAGGAAAAACTGTTGACATCACTTCTAGAACCTCTCAGGAGTTGCACTTCTGTAGTTCAAAGTTTTAAATTCAGATTCAGATTTGGGGTCATTTTGTAATGGCAGAGCAAACAGTTGTTAATTATATTGGTACCCTGTCTATGACTTTGCAGGCACTTCCAACTATGAACAGTGCAGAGCAAACCATGCCCTTGCATAATAAGAGGAATTAACATACATGTACATGTACGCAAGTGTGGATGCAGAATAGCAGTGATCATGAGTGTTGCCAGAAAGGGAGAAACCCCTCCAATTGGGGGGGGGGATCGTCCTCCTCCGTTGTTGAAGACATCTGCTCACCAAGCTTTCAATGCAAGATTTGTTTATGTTTGCTTATAATGTTACGTACTGTACATGTATGTACAAGTACAGTAGCATGGACGGAAATTATTGTTATACTGACGGAAACTTATGTAATTATGATAAATGTGTTTGCCTAAATATTGTGCTTTTTAATTCTTATACCTACAGGAGTCTTCCCTGTAAAAGACAAAAACTTTATTGTATGTAAATAATGCTTCACGGCATTATTTTCAAAATATTACTTACATGTATGTTACATGGACAGAAATTTGTCACAGAATTTCTGTCCATGCTACATGAGTTACTTACGTACGTGAGTGTCGTAAAAAGTGAAGACAAAGAAATTTATGCTTATGCTTTCACTGTCGGCAGTGAACAGTCCTAGATAAATGAGATGATATTTCTGTTTGTTTATGGGTAAATTCACGCCCATGATAATAAGTGTCTTGTCAATTTATAGTAATTACCCTAATACATAATTATTTTCAATGACTTGTATTTTCTAAATTACATGTACATACATGCTCTGCATTTTTGTACCCAAGACCATGACAGTGCCTCATGGAGAAGATGTAAAAACTGACCAAAATGTTGTGCTTCGCTGTGCCCCCAGTTCCCCCTCTCAAAACCCAAATTTGTCGCCAGTTGTACCCCATTAGTGTGGATGTGCCCACATGCAGATTCTCTTGGAGTCAGTCAACACAAATTTGATCCAAGCCAGTACTTCAAACCTGTCCATCTGGAAATTTGTCTGAGATGACATTTCTACAACGGTACCGCATTCATGCACATTTTACATACATGTTATTAAGTCCACTTAATGCTGGATGACAGGTGGATACACAAAGATTTCCTGTGTCATAACATGGAGGACATATAAACACGTTCTGGTGAGTTCTGAGTGTGGAGCTCCCCAGATGACGTCTATACTTTTCCCCTCACTTTAGTTATACCTGTTGAGTGTGCACATGGCATACAACTAGGTTTAAACAAGTTTACTGAGGTTAGATCGGTGTGGAGTGGCCATTGGCCATAGCTGGGCAGTGTAGCAAATATCGCTCTGTGACATATTTGAGTGTTAAAATATCGGTTGTGAAATACAAAATGTTGCATGCTTCTTTGACAAACAACACACTGGATAAGCATTGGATAACACACAAGCCTTTATAAAGTCCAACTCTGTAAAGGACTGTGGTTGTGGTACATGTATGTTGTTTAAAAAGTCTGTGTTTTCAGCCAAACATAATAATTTACCTTGGGCAAGTTCGTTTTGAAATGATATCATCAGCAAGTGGTTAAATCTGAGGTGCATATGGATTTTGTACATGTAGTTCACAACGCCTAATTTCTCTAAGAATTATTTCACATCATAACATACTGGTATATGCATGACCCGTACCACATTAACAGTTTGTGGTCATGTGATCTTCTTACCTTTTGAACTCTATATATGCAGATGTACTCTGTCTTAACCCCTTCTGTCATTTGATACTGTAGAAATTGAAGCTATTTTAAAGAATGGCGTATTCCGATTGGTGGATGGACCAGACCCTTATCAAGGCCGAGTGGAAGTGTTTGTTAGCAATGCCTTAGCCTGGATGCCCATCTGCAGTACAGGCTGGGACTTTACCAGAGCGTCATTTGTGTGTAAGAAGCTGGGCTACCGACCGGCAACGTCAGCTGGAACAGGACGCTATGGTGCTGGTGCTGGCCCCATTGCCAACTGCTCAGCAGGGTCGTTTGACTACGAAGGGAGGTTTAACTGGGAAAGGGACAGCTGTGTAGTTGTCAATGAAAGCGATGCAACCGGTGCATGCTCTCATGACATGGCAGTGGATGTGGTTTGCAGCGGCACAGAGCCAGGTAAAGTGATTGTCCAGACAGTGTTCGCAAAACAGAAAATGTTAGATTTCCCACATGTACATTCCACCAATTAAGTTTAGTCAGAGAAAATCTTCTTCATCTCCTCTGCTTTTTGTTGCGAGTAATACCTGACTGTCCCAGAAACATACGTTTTGCTTCTTCCCGTGGGAAATTTCCATTGTGTTGAATTAAAGAAAGCTGAAAGTGAGCCAAACTTTCTGCCAAGTCTCTTTACCAGATATGTGTAACATTCACATTAAGATCACTAAACGCGGATTCGTGTGCTATATGAAAGTAAACATGTCAGCATTTTTTATTTCAAGAGGCAGAGGGGAACATGCCATGACACTGCAAAGTCTTTGTTAGGATGCATTTAAACTTTCGTGGGGCAAAGGTTAATAGACTGATTGCTCCTGCTAAGTCACGTGACCTATTGTGGATATAAAATATAAACAAGCATGGTGTCCTCCCATAAGAATGTTGTTCACCCAAAATAAAGCCGATTTTCAGGAGAGCACTCGGCACATCAGTAGTCTGAATACTTTATCAACGGTCAGGTTTATTTGTTGGTGAATGACAATTGTCTCACACTTTGCTATGGGGAACACCCATGTTTGTAAACACTGTAGGTCAAGTGATTACTGGGGGCATTTGGTCTATTGAAGGTGATCTGTGGTCAGGTGATGTACAGTATTGTTCTGCAGATTCCTAGAAAACCCTGCTCTAGACGTGCTTTAAACCTATTTGTGTTGTAGGAAAACACACATTTACTGCCATTTTCCCAGAAAAGCTTAGTTTGTGCTTTGATATTGTGTACCCATTCTGTACCTTCAAAGGGCTAAAATTCACTGTGAAAAAGGATCGAGGTGTGCCAGATGCCCATTAATCCTAACAGTCTTCAGTCCTCCAACAGGTGAAGGATTGAGGACTGTTAGGGTTAAGTTAGAACTAGTGTGTTACCATTTCACTGGAGGTGCATGCCAAATTTCAAATCCGGCCTTGCTTGACATGTAATTCCTTTTATTTTGAACTTGATATAATTCATGCATTGAATTGTAATGCGTAGTCTGTGACACATCATTGCCTAGACAGTTCTAGATTGCATTGCAACAGACATGACTGTTGGTTTCATTCAGGCAAGGAGGGGTACATCAGATTTGCTGGTGGGTTGCGACAATTAGAAGGCCGAGTGGAAATTTACAACCAAAATGTTTGGAAGGGACTGTGCTCAGACGACTGGACAATGGCGGACGCCCAGGTCTCTTGCCGGCAACAAGGCTTGCCACCCCCCTCGGAGGCGATTTCAGGGGGGACGTTTGGGAGTAGCAAGGCTGGAGATATCCTGCAGACTTCACTGGACTGCACGGGACAGGAGTTTAGTCTGGTGAAGTGCCCCCAGACACCTAGACCCACACCTTGTTCCCTTGGTGATGCTGCAGTTCGCTGTGGTGAACCAAGAGAAGGTAAGCATGAGGATGCCCAGTGTGGGAAAGATGTAAAATAGCAAAAAAAAAACCACCTGGTTGTAATTTTGGGCAGTGCCTGGCTTTGAGTTAATAAGAGTCTACTGTGGACTTTGGCTGTATTGAGCAACAATGACTAGGATTTTGCAGGCTGGAGGACCTGATCAAATCACATCATCCTGTATATCACAGCTTAGCATGATGCAGTTAGACTTTCTCCTTGGGTTTTGTCTCCTGCAGCTCAGGAATTTGATCTGCGACTGACCAATGGCACAACTGCTCTGGAAGGCTTTGTAGAGATAATGTACCAAGGAGAGTGGGGGACAGTCTGCCTTCTGGGCTGGGAGTACAGGAATGAGGGGAGAGTTGCCTGCCGTCAGCTGGGCTTCCAGTATGTTGTTAGAGCCACCACCAGGTTTGGACCAGGAGTTGGACAGGTGATGTTGTCTGCATTGATCTGCAATGGCAATGAAGAGCGGCTGGTAGACTGCTACCATAATGCACCTGGACAGTCATGGTGTGACCATAGTGACGATTTTTGGGTCATCTGCTCCAACGTTGAACCAGTGACCCCACCTGCAGAAGTTTCACCTGGTGAGCACTAGCAGTAATGACTGACCCTCGATGTACATGTACTGCCGTATTTGGAATGATGTGTTTGTTGATTTGGTTTAGCTTGGGCTGGGTCCTGGCAGGTTGGGTAGGGATGGGGTGGGTTTTGTTCTTTAATTTGAATTTTGATGTCACTCTTCCTGACTTACACATGTAGCAGTGTATCTTTCAATTAGCAAGGGGAATACCAAATTCCTCCAAGGTACCAGTAATTTTGATGTGACTTTGTGGTTTGGAATCCAGAAAGAGCCATGCCACTCTAACTTTAGCCAGGGAGTTTTTTCCAGCAAGAAGTTCTGGTAGTAAGTGTTGATTGCTTAAGTGTGGATCTTCAGGAAATTTTCTCCTTCTGATTATGTTTACCATAAATTTATGAAGCTTGTATTGGACAAATTTGACCGTTTAAAAAAAAGAAAAATGTTGTGCTATTTTGGGAACGNGAAATAGCAAAAAAAAACCCACCTGGTTGTAATTTTGGGCAGTGCCTGGCTTTGAGTTGATAAGAGTCTACTGTACATAGACTTTGGCTGTATTGAGCAACAATGACTAGGATTTTGCAGGCTGGAGGACCTGATCAAATCACATTATCCTGTATATCACAGCTTAGCATGATGCAGTTAGACTTTCTCCTTGGGTTTTGTCTCCTGCAGCTCAGGAATTTGATCTGCGACTGACCAATGGCACAACTGCTCTGGAAGGCTTTGTAGAGATAATGTACCAAGGAGAGTGGGGGACTGTCTGCCTTTTCGGCTGGGAGTACTGGAATGAGGGGAGAGTTGCCTGCCGTCAGCTGGGCTTTCAGTATGTTGTTAGAGCCACCACCAGGTTTGGACCAGGAGTTGGACAGGTGATGTTGTCTGCATTGATCTGCAATGGCAATGAAGAGCGGCTGGTAGACTGCTACCATAATGCACCTGGACAGTCATGGTGTGACCATAGTGACGATTTTTGGGTCATCTGCTCCAACGTTGAACCAGCGACCCCACCTGCAGAAGTTTCACCTGGTGAGCACTAGCAGTAATGACTGACCCTCGATGTACATGTACTGCCGTATTTGGAATGATGTGTTTGTTGATTTGGTTTAGCTTGGGCTGGGTCCTGGCAGATTGGGTAGGGATGGGGTGGGTTTTGTTCTTTAATTTGAATTTTGATGTCACTCTTCCCGGTTAATTTCCTGACTTACACATGTAGCAGTGTATCTTTCAATTAGCAAGGGGAATACCGAATTCCTCCAAGGTACCGGTAATTTTGATGTGACTTTGTGGTTTGGAATCCAGAAAGAGCCATGCCACTCTAACTTTAGCCAGGGAGTTTTTTCCAGCAAGAAGTTCTGGTAGTAAGTGTTGATTGCTTAAGTGTGGATCTTCAGGAAATTTTCTCCTTCTGATTATGTTTACCATAAATTTACGAAGCTTGGACACAGCTGTGCTTGTATTGGACAAATTTGACCGTTTAAAAAAAAGAAAAATGTTGTGCTATTTTGGGAACANCTCACTGTTTACCCTTTTGCTCAACTCTAGTTGACGGTGAAATACGACTTGTGAATGGGTCGGACCCCCACCGAGGTCGCATGGAGGTCTTCGTGGGTGAAGAGGGGACATGGGCCACAGTATGCGGTGAAGGCTGGGACTTCAACAGGGCTGTCATGGTCTGCAAGGAACTTGACTATCGGCCCACTACTTCATTTACCACAGGGAATTACGGTGGAGGGACTGGTGTCATTGCCACTTGCCCAGCATCTGCATACAGGCTAGACTTGGACAACTGTCAAGTGACAAATAACTGCGGTCGTGACATGGATGTTTTTGTTGTTTGTGGCGGCAGAGAACCAGGTAAGGCAAAGTACCAGTGAAATTCCACAGTAAAGATGGGAATGGAAAGAACGATATCATAATGGGTGCATTCTGCTGGAAAGCTGAAGCACAGTTACTGTAACAAGGCGCTTGATATACATGCATTTAAATTGAGATTTTGGGATGAACTGCTCAACCTCATAATTTGTCATTGTATCCTCTAGGCTCTGAGAGTCAAATCCGACTCGTCAGTGGGTCTGAACCGACAGAAGGACGCATTGAATTCTACCATCAGAATGCATGGAGGACGATCTGTGCCGATGACTTGACCTATGTTGGACAGCAGGTCGTGTGCTATGAGCTCAGCTTTCCTTTCCCCACTCAGTCCATCCCAGGGGGAACGTTTGGCGAGAGTCCAACCTATGAGATTTTAGATGCAGTTGTCAATTGTACTCTGCAGGACACTCGTTTAAAATACTGTGCTCAGTCACCGAGAGCGACGCCTTGTGTTGGTGGTCATGCTGCAGTGCAGTGTGGCATATGGAGTAACGGTGAGCACTTTACATTCTTGTAAAGACGTACACAGTTCTTTGAAAGAGAGACCACACAAGCAAGCTTTGGCTGGCTGAATGGATTCTCAAGCAATACATGTAGCTCTGCAATTCAATTTGCATTGGAAATCTAAGAATTGGCAATGTGGGTTATCTAGTTGGTTATTTATAGGGAACTATGTGAACCTTCACCATTGTGTCTTTAGAACAATGTATACTCTGTAATGCCTGAGGACTCTTGAAAGCTACAACCTTACTCAAGTGGGACTTGGACCCATGATCTTGTGTCTAGTAGTGAAGATGTTTTATGATTTGACCACTGAACTTACCAGGGTTAGATGGCAGGTTGCGTCATTTCTCTTGAGCTTATCTGAATCAACTATCCAGCTGACACTGATAATATTGGTGGTCAAGTGGTAGAACATTTGCACTTGCAAGCAGGATGTCGGGGGTTTGAGTTAGCATTGGTTTCTCCCAGAGGCAGTAAAGGGTAAAATACCCAGTGTAAAAAAATGTTATCTTTCCAATGGCCCCAAAAGAGTTATGTCCTATGTCATACCCTGCATTGTTTGACACAGAGTCACTTGGACGTGAGACTGCATCGTTTGGCTTACGTAGCGCAAACATTTTTTGGATTGGGTTTCCCCCACAACTTTGTGAACACTTCAAAAAGTAATGGCCATAATTTTTCTGAAGTTATTTACATGTCATTTTTTATTATTATTGTCATTATTAAGTCATTCTGGTAATGAAACCAAGGATTCCTCAAAATAGCCCTTGACACTGTAGCTCATAAGCCTGAAGAAACGAGATAACGAGAAGAAGTTACAGTTGTAGAGGTGGCAAGAAAACTCAGAGGAATATTCCGGGTAAAATCACGGAATCAGGTAGAGACTGATAACCTAATCCACGTTTGGACCGGGCCGGGAATTGAACCCAGGCTGCAGATGAGAAATGAAAAAAAGAAGTACTACGCCAACCTGACTCCTCATATTTAATGTGTACACTTTCTTCTTGAATATTTACAGATACTGATATTCTTTTGAAATATTTGAAATTATTCTTTAAATATTAAATTTGAATGTCATCAAATTAATTTAGAGTGAGTTAAGTTCCAATGACTGACTTTCAGAAGTTAAGTTGGCCTGTTGCAGTGTACATGTATGTATGTTCAAAATCAAATTGAGCCTAGTAATCCAGCAATCTAAGCAAAGAAATCCAAAAATCTATTCAAAGACTTAGTTCTACCCAAAGAAACATAATGAAACAATAATGTATTGATATTTTGTTGTGTTATAGTATTTAGTAGTACTATTTTGTATAGTGTACATGTATTCCTGATGATTGCAAATGATCGTTAGGTCTTTGTAGCAAAAAATTTCAAAGGGCACAGACAGTTGCAAGCTAATCCAAGTTCAAGTCAATAAAGTAAAACACCTACTTTTACCAAAGACAGCGTTTTGTACTGAGCAGCCCAGGCCTGTGTTGTTTAAGAATGATACATACAGGAGCCATCTGCAGCTGTGGCTTTGTGTGAGGATTAGTGCATACCACACATACATTCTATTCATCAAGCACCTGCTGGTTCAATGGGGCCTGCTGCTAGACAGAGCTTTGCATGTTACCCCAACATTTTATTGTAAAATAAGTCACCAATTGTCTGAGATCTGGTTGCCAATGCTAGGCTTGACTGTGTAAAGTGATGTGATTCTAGTATCAAATTTTCACGCTCTTGATTTCATTGATTTGTTCTCTGCATTTGTTCAGCCACCGAAGGGGACGTGCGCCTTAGTGGTGGTCGCTCTGTGTTGGATGGGCTAGTGGAGATATACCACAAGGGCCAGTGGGGAGCAGTCTGTAACGATAATTTTGATACTGACAGTGCGGCCGTTGTCTGCCATCAACTGGGCTACCGTGACCAACTGTCCCTGTTTTCGAGTGTTGGTTACTTGAGAAGAAACCCTTTGGTGTGGCTGAGGGACCTGAGTTGTCAGGGCTATGAGGAACGCATCTCCGAGTGTGTTGCTTTGCTGGGGGAACCAGTGGCATGCCAAAGCAGTCGCATGGCGGACGTCAACTGCGACGGTCACCCTTTTGCCAAGAGTAAGCTTCCTTACCTGCACTTCATCGCCTCACAGTTTTGACCCCATTTTGTCATTATTGAAACTGTGTATGTCATTTCTCCTTTAATAAATAGAAGGCAATGTCAGATTAATCCCTTGCACGTTTCCAAGAGTTTAAAAGTCAAGTCACTGTGATCCAAGAAATTTGTTGCTGCATGCTACATGTCACAAAAAAGGATTGGGAAGAAACTTTTCTGACTTTCAGGATTGCAGATGTTTTTGTTAGGAGGATGTACTGGGTAAATGTAACTAATGTTGCATGATAGTGAGCAGCTAGTCCATTTCAGTAGGTTCGTCAACATTTAATATTGGCTACAAGCCAGAAAAAAATTATCAATGTTTTACTGTATTGTGATATTTGTAAGCTTTCATATTTTTTATTTCTGTTACTGCAATAATCACAAATTTTGCCAAAGAAAAGTGGAATTAAAATTGACTAAACCAGAATTCATTTCACCTGTTTGGTCCCCGTAAGAGCAACCAAATGAGTAATCCAAAAAGTGGATAAAAGTGTTGCCCTACGGAAAACCAGATTTATTGAAAGATAGAAATTCCAACTTTTAATATCCACTCCACAGTAAAACCTGCAATTCAGTTTAACATAAGAGTACATGTTTGTCACATTTCATATTTTTATACTTGCAGTCAACACAAATTGTCCTGTTTGTCTTTACTGTCCTAGCTTACGAAGCACGCCTCAGTGATGGACCTTATCCCAACCAGGGTCGCTTGGAGCTGTTCTACGACGGTGCTTGGGGCACCGTCTGTGATGATGAGTGGGACTTTAAGGATGCTGAAGTGGTTTGCCGGCAGCTGGGCTTTCTTTCAGCCGTGGTCCCTCTTAATGGTAAGGAGACCAGCAGTCTGTATGGATCGGGGGAAGGAGAGATCATCTTGTACGAGGTGGGCTGCGATGGTACCGAGGACAGCATCATCAAGTGCAAGCTGTCTTACCCATATTACGTTCTGTGCGATCATTCTGAAGATGCTGGCGTTGTCTGCTTCAGCGAGAACTACCCAAGTGAAGACCCACGGCCCAAGGATCCTGGTAAAAATTCTAATTGCTCAGGCTTGATGTCCGGTAGTTGTACCCACTGTAGCTGGCAGAGAGTGGCATTGGTTGTCTGCCGCTGGATATATTTTCAACCTGTGTGAGGTTTGGGCATTAAAGTTAAACCTAACCCTCCCTGAAAAATCTAACGGGTGATTTTTTTAGATGTTTTTATGCTTGATTCAGCAAGGTAGAGCCCAGCCATTAACAATTTACTCACAGTTTGAAAGGCCCTTGAAAGTGATAGTACAGGGAATCTCTTGGATATTAAAGGTATATTGTGGAAGATGCCTGGAGGTTCCTTGCTTCAATCCATACTTGATGCAGGTGATGCATGGCTGCTAAGCTCTGGTAGGCATTCTGCTACCCATCTTCTGTTAGTGAATTTGGATTTTTCTATTGAGATTACCATCTACATTAGTCACACATTTGAATGTAAGAGGCAGCAACATTGAATGATTTCCATCCAGAAACTGTCCAGCTGTAGTTTTGGGGTTTTTTTTTAACGGAATATATTTCCCCCAAGATGTTAAAAAGTTCTGCCAGGATGGTATCTCTGCAGCCGTCATGTCATTTTTTTTTACTTTGTATCCACTACAGGCAATGGGGGTGGTTTATCAAGTACCGCCATCCGCAACATTGTCCTTGGGGTCCTGGTGGGTGCCAAAGTCCTCCTGCTCTTGGTTTGGTGTGGTTACAAGTACAGCAAAAAGATGGCTGAGCCCAGCATTGTGGTGGTGGGCCCAAACCAGGGATTCACCAGTGCGGGCATTGACCAGTATTCTGCTGTCAGCCAGAATGAGGTATTCACCTTGAAGTGATTTGTGATTATTCAGCATTTGTGACCTTCAGTATTTAAAGTACAGCTGCAGTGAAGTTTTCTTGAAAATTGTTTTCATTCAATGTATGAAAAATATTCAATGCGTCTTTTAGGTTAACTATTTTGAAAAGCACATTTACTAAAACCTTTGAAATTATCCCTGCTGTCCTGGACAACTGAGGGCGCTGTTGCTGTGAAGTCATCCAGGGAAGACATAGTCAGTCCATAGGTTTTTTCTGTTCAAATTGTGAATCCAGAATTCACTCGGGGAAACATTTCAGAGAGAGGGTTGGTTGCTTGCTAACTGGTGTGTCCCTTCTCAACAATGAATCACCGTAGAAGAGAACATTTAGGCCGGCTACCTCTCCACATTTTTGTACATTGAGGTTTTATTCCTGGGATGACATTACAGTTGCTCAAAAAGATGGAAATACTCATTTGCGTAAGAACCAGAAAGGTAGCAAACCCCGTTTAAAATAGTGGAACAGAACTTGAAAATGGGGACAACTGAGAAAAAAAAGGTGCATTTTGAGGTTTGTATAAATTTCCAAAAATGTCATTGCAGCTGCTTTGTAAAAATTATTGGATGCTGTGATTTGGAATATGATGTTCAAACACACCTCTCACTGGTTCTTATTTTTGGTTGGCTGAACCACGTTCAAAAGGGTTTGCTAATATATATGTAGTTTAGTACATGACATGAAAGATATCTACTGGCCAGACCTTTATCTTTTACTGGCTTTTTTCTTTCCCTCGCTCTCTTAAGGATGCACCACCAACATACAGCGATGTCACCAATAACCCTGGTAACTTTCTCCCAGTTGATGGCACGGAGCCAGCCAAGCCTTCCTCTCCACCACCAAATTATCAGTCTTCTCTTGCCAAAGAGGGAGCTTCAGCCGATAATCAGACAACATCTATTTAAAATTAACATATATGCACACTCACTTGCACCTGAAGCCTCTAAAAACTGTTGTCCAGTAAGGTCCTTGTATGGACCGGACTTAATCCACATAAGATTCTCACTGCCTGCATGTTATGGCCCTCTTTCAGGTCCCCACTAGGAATGTAAGGTTGGCTCACACATTTGTAACCACAGCTGACCTGACAGAATTTATCTGAACTGGATCTACACGTAACTGGACAAAGTCAAGGTTTTTTGCCAGGATTTCGGAAACTGGCCATGTAAAGAAGAAAATGTGGCTTTGTTCATGTACATACGTATGTGCATAACTGTACATGAACACGTGTACATGTTCAATGTGCAACATGACAACCCACATGCAAGGACATTCCATTATTTTCAATGGCTACTGTCATCAGCTGCAGTGATATGAAAGATATACAGTAAACTAAACTCAGGTTCAGTCGGCACTCTTGGTACCCCCAAAATTTGTGACGACTTACACGTAGGCCAACTTTTATTGTGGTGCAGTGGCCCCCACCTTTTTGACGGGGGGGAGAGGCCTGGCCCCCCCCCTCTTTCTCGACGGGGGGGTCCCCCCACTTCTTGCAGGACCTGTAATTGGGTGGGGCTTAATGGATCATGTTAATGGCTGACGCCAGATGGTCTAACAACTCCCCCCCCTTCCACTTTGAAATCATTGTGCCGCCGGTGCAAAGCAGAGACTGGTAATCACTGGAATCAGTGAACTACTCACGCTTCTTTGGCAAGACTCTTCTGCCATCGACTCTAACTGTAACTTTAGTGTATTAAATGGAAAAAGCTGAAAAAAAACAACAACTCAGGTTTATTTTACTGAAAACTCTTTTTGATACTGTGTAGGTAAACATGAAAAAAAAAGCATGTGATACATAAACTGTCTAACTGTAGAGGGCACACTTCAATGCAACTGGTCTGTCCAGGTCACTGGAACACTACGCTCAAGCATGAAACACAGCATGAAACACGAGTAATGAGTTTTGTCAATAAGGTAATGGGGAAAAAGACTCCAGAAATATGGATGACTTTAACTGAGAGTCAGACTGTGGTGTAGGTTGTTCACTAATTTATATACAACACCAGAAGGAAAACCATGAGCAGATATATGTCGGTTTTGGACACGTGGCAATCTCAGACTGATTCTGGAAGCTTAGAGGCAAGAATCAGATGAGACTTGTGGGGGTATGTGCTCAGTATGTGCCAGTGGGGCTGATACTAAGACCATTAGCCCAATACAGTTTACTGTACATTTCGAATGACGACTTGCACAGTGAGGTTATGGGGCTATGATAGGGATTCTAACTTTAAGGGTGTTTGATGTTCCGCGGAGTGGATTTTTCTGATGTATCTTGTCACAAGTGCCATGCTTGGAAAGACTTGCCTTTTTTTAATACGAAGCTGGCCTAAAATGCCGCATAGTGGCACAAGATGGAGAACTTCACTGTGGATATATGTTGCGTAAGTAATGCGCCTGCACAGTGCATATTAATGCACAGGTGCAGGTGCTGGGCCAGGCACCTGCACATTAACGTGCACTGCAGAGGCGTATTGCTTGTTTGCTTGAATGGTGCCCATGGTGATTACACCTGTTTGGCAGAGTTCCTCATCTTATGCCGCTATGTGACACTATAGATCTTTGGTCAGGATCTATCCCTGAATTATGTCACCTTTTTTAAAACACAGCTCACATTGTATTCACATAATCCTAACTCTCTTTGGTACATGTATGTGCAAAACCATCTTAAAATTGGAGGACTCAGGACTGTATGCCCCTCTGCGAGGCAGCAGATGGTCACTGTAGTGTCCGTGATTTGATTGAGTCGGCTAACTGATGGAGATAACTTGGTGTTACAGTCAAACGTGATTGACAAACTAAACCTTAAGATGGTTTCGGGGTTACATATTGACATTCAGCATATGAGTAACAGGGTATGTAATGCTAAAAGCCCTTACACAAATGAAACTTAGTCCATCATTGAGCGACTTAGTCAATACAGTTTTGGACAGTGTCTCCATTTAATTCAAGATGTTTTAAGTTTGCAACTCTTGCTTTTCTGTCTCCAAATCATGATTTCATTTACTTTATACAGCAATTGCACCTGTGTAAAAATTAAGATCACATATGAGAGGGAGTGCTGAGAATTTGGAATGGTACCCCAGTATATGAGCCATGTCTCAGACTGCCCACATTTTATTTTATACTGCAGTCAACTACATGTAAAAAAGGCTTTGAGTTAGTTTTTTGATACATTTTAAGGGAAAAGAAAGTTGTACAAAGTTTGCATGTTAGAAAAATAATCCTTTGGAGCCTTCTAAAAGAAGGCAAAAACACAGTGACCTAAGCTTCTTGCTCACACAGAGAAACTTGGTTCAAATCTCATATTGGTAACTTATTGAACCGTGGTTGAACCAGTCACCTCATTGTCGCATCAAGTGATTAAAACAATTCCTGTAATAAAAAACATTTCATTCTTCGAACTGGGTTTTACAAGAATGTGAAACTCATAAAGGTGAAGCTGGTGGTGAGCTACATGTAAAGACCATCCTGATGGTTGTTAGCTTGCAAAAGGTTCTTAAAGCACGATTTAAGAACTAACAAATCTGGTTCATGCTGCGATTTTATTGTCGGAGCAATTCAACCGAACTGAAAGTCCAGTTGAAATTTGAATATACTGAAGAATTCAGTAGGGTTTAATGGTTTTAAAAAAAATCAGTTTATGATATACTGGCTTCTAAGGGCATTAAATGATGTTGATTAAACTATTACTTTTAAAAACTTTAGCACTTTTGGCTTTATCGTGTACGTCACCACTAATGCCCTTTACAAATTTATACAAATGTGGGGTATATCTTCAGGAAAACCCCTACAAGAAATTTTCAATGGTTTATTTTGCGCTCTGTTGGTAACATGATTTGCAGCATCTCCATGTGAGACTACGGCATTCATAAGTATCAAACACAGCTACGGCTCTTCACCACTGCTTCTTTTGATCAAAATTCGAAGCTGTAGTTGTAGGAGACTGGACTGGAACATGGCTATCCGTGTCATGTGCCATAGCATGCAATCCCATGTGTTAAGTCAATTGATAAACCGGCAGGGCTTCACTGAACATTTGTGCTGTTGATGCCCCAGGCAATTTATGGAATCCGTTTTTAGAATGAAGGGAAAGAACTTGGCCACATGTTGTTCAGATTTGATGCCTTACTTATCATCAGGACTCCATGATTTCTAGATCAAACAAATTTGGGTAACTTTAGAACTAATTAATTAAAGTAAGAACTCTTTTGAGAGCCAGGAACTGCTTAGTTCAGGTGTGCAGTGTCACGTGTTACAAATCAATTCTTGCCAATTTCCTTTTTGCCCTCCATGAGTGCATTGCTCGCATGGATTTGTATGTAAGGAAAAACACCAACAGCTAATTAAAGTTTAGTCATTTAGGGGCATACAGTGTTTATAGTATGCTCAACTCATGTTATCTTTATATTCTTATGTTTTTGTGGGCCTGTAAGGTAAACATAATAAATGGTTTTCTGAAATAGAATTTTAGATTTTTAAGCCTTAAAGAGTTGCTAAAATAAATTGTTTTAACACGGACCTCTAAAATTGCACCTTTTTGTCACAGTAAACCTTATTGTCAACTTTTATGTCACTATATCAAAGGGTATTTTACCACTTTTGGGTTTTTTGCTAATGAGCTTTTCCATATTCATTAGCAATAGGAAAGCACACATGTAAACAAAGCATGATGTCATGATGTAGATCTGTATATTTTTGTGCACGGATCCCATTACATGTAATTTAAAGGTTACTTTAGTGTCCATATCGTGTGTTATTGGGAAAAGTGATTATCATGGAATACTTGGAAATGAAGAATTCAAGTTTTTGGGATGCCACACCCTTATTTGTCTTCCAAAGATGTCTCAAATTATATTCGTATCTAGAAAGAAAAATAAATACAAAGTTTCTGAAATGAACCTAAAGTTTAATTGTCTGTTGTTACAAAAATCCAGCTTTTGATCTTACAAGTCTTTAATAAGTTGGTTTGAATACTTTGTGGCCTTCCAAATTTAGAAACTTGATGTACAGGACATCCCAAATCATTTTGATTTCACTCTGAATACTGGAACACTGTGATTGAGTGTAACTGCATATTCAGTACATTAGAAAGATTTTGAATCGATGGGATGTTGACAGAACCATCAAAGGTTTTCAACAGTAATCCAGGTGAGAGGAGATTCTTTTCAGCCCTTCTTCTTTGCTTAACAATTTGCGTATCAATTGTAATTTGCATTCTTCAATAAAGAAATGTTTCACTGCTTTAGTTAGAAATCAGAATTTCACAGAGGTACGCCACGTGTTAAGTTGGTAAATCATTTTGATTCCAAAATGTAAATTGCTTGGTTCAAGTCCAATAAGTTGTTTGTTTCATGAAATGAGAATGTGCCTTTTCCTGTGCCTTATTCAGTATTGTGTATTCTGTGCAATGGATACATGCTGTACTGAGGAGTCGAACATTGTTACACACACTTATTTACAACGTAATAGTACACTGTACAGCAACATGCTTCACTCTCTATGCATGCTTTGCATACCATGTAGTGTGGCGCAGAACACAGCAACGCTGGTGAGGAATGGAATACCGGGACTCTGAAATATGGAACCAGTGATTGTCACTGCACCCAATCAGACTACTCGTCGCTGTTAAGAATGGAGACTTGTACAGAGAATAACCCTTGTTTGAAACGGGCCCCAAATAGGTTATGGTATTACCTGAATTATGTTGTAGCTTCAGGGTTATTATGTGGGGTTGGTAGCTTAAAGGAAGGAGAACAAAATGTTTGGTCGACTGGGGTTGGCTTGTGTGCCGTAGTGGGTAAGGAAATGGATTAGTGTAGGTTTACTTTGTTGGAAACTTGGAGGGTTTTTTCTTAGTTGTTTTTCTTTTCCTTTTCAACTTCTTTCCTATTAGAAAGATCAATTTTGAAGGGTTATTAGATTTACTGCCCGAATTTGTAGCCCTGAGGTATATTTTATTTAAGGACAAAGCTCACTTTAATATATTCTTGATATTTCGTCCTGGTTCTAAACAGGGGTTATTTTGTGTAAAAACCTTGTTTGTTAACACCGGTGGGTTGTCAGATCAGCCGGCTAGTGATTGCCATATGTGAGGCTTAGGGGCTACAAAATAGAAATCAAAGTATCATGTGAAATTAGAAAAGTGTTTGAAAGCAGTTGACAGTGTTGAAAACCACCATGTGATGGGGTTCTTTCACAATGATAATGGGTAAATTGTCTGGGGCTATTTAATGTAAATGGTTGATAATCATGACAAGCAGTGTACAAGGGACTCCAAGCATGGATCTATGATTCACGTGATAACATTACTCTTGGCTCACAGGATGACTCGACACTCAATCCAATAGGTCCTTCATAATCACAATGCGCGAAATCTGTCGACCCAATGTGCGTTTGGAATGGGTCGACAGAGTTCACACCTTGTGACTGGCCAATGCATTGCAAACTCTTGGAGGTGCACTATTGTGAAATGCCCATAGTACAAGTGCAGATCCAGAGGAACATTGAACACAGCTAGCATGTGGGGCTCTGGACAGTTTAGATCATCATTGTACTTTATTTTACACTTGAAAGGATTCCAGGTTGGAAAAGTACCTTCATATTATTTGCTATTAAAATGTCCTTCATTGTTCCACCAACCCAAAATCTTGGTATTCCACTGTGTAAGTGGTATAGGAGAATACATTTTGAGACAAGGCATACTTATACTTGTGATGAAATCAATGCCTGTGCAGAAAAATTTGAATTCCAGTTCATGGTCTTCCAGTGAACAGAACCTTCAACCAACAGGTCTGAAGTAAGTACTGATGGAAATATTCTTAAACTTGCTTTTTTCTTGATTACAACTCACCACTGCACACAACTGACACATCTTGTGACCTGCTGCATTTGAAGGGCCCACCACGTCGCATATAGTCCACATTGCACTCCCCCAGATTGGCCTCGGTGCCGTTGCAGCGTTGGTTGGTCATGATGACTGGCAGGGTGCTCGGTTGGAGCTGGATTTGCACAGCTATCTGCTTAGCACCGATGTACCCCAGCTGTTTGCAGACAACCTGGGCATCCTTGAGGTCCCAGAACTCTTCCTGGTGAATGTACAAGGGTTGCGACAGGGTTCTGGAATTGCACAAAGTGCCCCACATCTCCATCCTACTTTCATACTCATTCCCCCCCTCAAACTGCTTCACTGGATGTGACAATAATAGGAATAATCTTGACTTTTAAACTTTCGGGACCTGGAGTACTTGAGGTGTTTGCAAATTGACAGTAGTAAAATGTCTATAAAAGGGACTGAGTTTTCAGAATGTATGTTTCACTGATACATAGGCTATTGTAGTATCTGATAAACCGTAATAATTATGCATGGTCACCATAGGAGATCGCCAAATACATTTACCTTGTAAGTCATGAAATCAAATTTGAAGTAAAATGCTTACAACTTTCAGGGTCAAATTTAGCCATCACTGACCAATATCTGTGCATGCATCTGCGAAGTTGCACTTCTGGGTTTATGGGAAAGGATGAATTTGCCCACTTGTCACAAGACGGAAGCTTTCTTTTACATATAAATGGAAGACTTTCCACAAGCAGAGAATGTTGGATGTATGTGGCTGAAGACCAAAAAATATGCTTTTGTTAATGTTAGCTCTGGAATCAGTTTCAACTTGCTTTACTGTAACGAAGGAATAAAATAAAAATACTGTAGCGTCAGAGCTGGATGACCAGTGGGGGTGCTAGCATGGCTCCACGGTAGAGCTGTATAGTGGGCCCCTACCAGTCAGCCAGGGCAGGGATACCCATCGCTGTGGTACCTGCGAAGTTTATGGAAGCACTTCTTTTGGGTGTGTTTTGGAGTTCATACCAGACAAGAGTAATGTATTGAAACTAAATGGCCGAAAGCCAAAAAAAACCAAGTAGAAGACTCTACAGTGTCTTTTTTTCAGCGTGAGCAAGACCCATAGAGGTTGTCAATGTTGCAATGGTGGCAGCAGTGGGATGCTGAAGGGGAAGACAGATGAATTTTTCTCTTTTTTTTTGGCGTGTACAACCTGAGTCACATTGGTCTCAGTGGCATCTGACTCGCCACTCGGCCGGGATGCAGGCTGGAATAGGGCCTCAGAGATTGTGGGTCAGCCTGGTGGACAGGGGACAACACCGCATTTTTCAAGGATCAGTTCAGTGAAAAGACACTGTTCCTCACTGTTGATGAACTGGACTCCTTTTTCAAGCAGGTCAGCCAAGAGAGTTTTACTCTGGAAGCTGTGGGCGGGAAGGGAGCAGTGACAGTGAGCCAGGCCAGACGGTTGAGCGACATACCATGCATTGTCTCCACGGACATGGTAATGGTATGTGCTGTGTCCCCCACAGAAATGCCCTGTGCTGTAGATGGCGGCGAAGCAGACTTAATTATGTTCCAGTCGGAACATTGTTGAGTTGCACCTTTAAATGCAACAGAAGCAGAGCTTAGTTTCAGGACACTTGATGTTTCTGTCGGTTCACCTAGTGTTGGGGTCCACAGGGAATCACCCCATGTTGAAGACGGTATCAAGGCAGACATTCTGCTCCAACCGGAACGTAGTGAAGCTGTGTCGTTGCAGTGGGGGCGGGGCTTCATCCTGGGACTCTTCTTTCCCAAACTACAAGAAGTGACAGTGTCCACAGGGATGCATCCCATGCTGACAATGGCAGCACGGCAGATACACTTTTCCATTTGGAACACAGTCAAGTTGTGCATGCCATTACAATAGGGTTGGGGCTTCATCATGTAGCAGGGGCAGAAACCCATCTAAAGACATCCAACAGCCCATGCCGTATTCCTTTCTGGAAGGAACTCAATTGGCGAACAGAAGTCCACCGGCAGCCACCACCCAGCGACGGGGTATCTCGACACCCACATTTCTATAGCAATTCCTGTTTTCTAAATTAATGTTTGGCTACAAGCATTTTTCATCTATTTCCTTTTTTTGTGTAAAAGTTGCCAGTGCTGGTGGGTTAGACCTCTGCGGGCACCAGGTCGCTGGTGCTTGCCATCTTGTTCTGGGACACACACATGAGAGTCCTTGAAGATGGCCGTGTAGCATTGGTGCTGAATGACCGGTGGGGGTGCTAGCATGGATCCACATACAGCCCACAGACATATAAGTTTACACGTCTAGCTGTGATTCTGGAAAGTATGGTCAAACAATATGCGAAATATGGGCAAACAATATGCGAAACGGTGGATGGCAGCCCACGTCCAGTACGCGTTACGCCAAATGCACTTACGTTGCCTGTATTTGTTTACTAATTCCAAATACGTTCACCTTTTTTGCTCTTGGGTACTGGTTTATCTTCTTTTCAAATGTAGCAACTGAAAGCGTTTTTACAATAATTTATTATTATTATTATTTTGAATTCCTATGGGCCAGATAAAAGTAAATAGAGGATTTTTTTTACAATCGACCAAATGGCATCATAGAACTTTATGCCTGGAATTCTTCAACGGGGCATAAATTACCTATAATGAGGGGTGAATTTTGCCCATGTTTTGATTTTAGTTGGGCGCCGCGAAGATCACGAAAACGCTGTAGTTTTGAATAAGACCTGGTGGGTCTATGCGTGTGTGGTAGAGCCGTGTGGTGGGCCCCTACCAGTCAGCCAGGGAGATCCGTAATTGCCAAGGCACCAATACAGTGGTTGGCAAGTTTAAATTTGATTGATGACCATACAAGTACTTCGACTTCCTCTGATCGAACACATGCTAGTCGACGATGGTTGGACTAGTTTGGCCAAATATTTGCAACCAGCCCATCCATAAACAGTGCAGAAAGGTCCACTTATAAGAAAAATGCCTGGAAAATGCCATTTTCAACTTTATTTTTGCTACTCTGACCTTCCTGTGGCCACTTTTTCTCCCCTGGCACCAAATGACCTGACAGTGGTTGTTTATAGGGTCATTCGCACTTCACCTTCTGTCCATATGCACTTATGTCACGTACCAACCACTAGTTAACTAGTGGTCCTTGGTCAAACTTACCCAGTACTGTTTTTGGAAGCACATTAAGTGTTCATAGCCTGCGCGGTGCATGGTCTGAGCTTGAAGGACCTAACGCTACAAATTACTTCTTCTGGCCAGGGAACCCTCTATTGTTACTCATATAGAGAACAATAAAGTTGTACATTCATAGTGCCACTACCAGAGTGCTGTATGGTACATTGTCTGATCTACTGTATTTTATGGCTTCAGAGAACAATACGGTCGTAGTGTAGTCTTACAAGTGAAAGCACTGAATACTACATTTTACTATTAAGTAGCACTAATTAGTATTCAGGGCTGTTAGGGTTAGCTAAAAGACTCATAATGCCATGGCATCATATTACAAACAGCAGAAAATGTAGCCACACAGAGCTGGCCCATGTCAACTCAAGTTGTGGAACTCAAGCCAAACGCCAAAGACAGAGACGGGATTTGAAAAACCATGGTTGGGGTAGTTTTAAGAAACTTTCTTAAAACTTGTACATTTATCAAAACAGCTTTGTTTGTAAACAAGATTATTCTGTTTCGTTTCTTTGGACCCAGGGAGTGACAATTAACTGAATTTGTTTTTATTTCCTTTTGGGGAGGGGGTGGAGACTTGTGGAGATATAAGTAACAAGGGTTAGGGCATTGTACGGTTATTGGTTATTGATCTTTTTAGCTCCTCGTAGATTTTGAAATGATTCTTTGTTGACATCAAGCAGATTCATGTGGTGTGTGGCCAAAATGAATACGAGAAAAGGCGTTGGAAGTGTACTGTTACATACCATTTGCCCAATTTCCGCACTCAACACCAGCAACCCCGCCACTGACTGCTGCAGAAGTGCGTGTATCTGACGCATGCTCACTGCACTGCACATAAGAAGGCGTGGTACGAAAGGGTGCTCCGTTCACGTGGTGCTATGCTGTTGCCCGCGCACCCAATTGGTGGTGGCCTCAGCTATGGTTCGTGACGCGTGGTAGGTTGGCGACATGCCCACCCCAAGAATCCAATGAGCTTCCATGCACGATGAGGCATCCTCGAAGATTTCTACCCGTCCCTAGGTAGGCTTAGCACTGGTACGCATCTGTACTTGTGGGATGGGCCCAGGGGCAGCTGCAAAGATCGTACAAGCGCCTAGCTAGCGCCGCGGCGCTATAAGATCTTTGCTACGTACGTACGCCTAACGGCCATAGCATCCAGGACACATCACGCTAGCTGGTTTGCGCCTCGCGTGGGGAGATTGACGCAAATTTAAACCCAACCCATGAATGAAAATATTTCCCGACTGCCTCCTTGAAAGCCGTGACAGATGTTGCATCGACCACAGATTGTGGCATGTTGTTCCAATCCCTTACTGTTCTGTCGAAGAAGGTATTGTCAAAAACCTTGGCTCATCAGTCATGAGCCATTAGGCCCACGCCTATTCGCGCTTTGCGCGATGCTGCCATAACGTTAGGCATACCATGGAGGTAGGGATCTACTGCTACCGCCGTACAGGTACATGTAAAATCACGTCAACGCAGCTTTTGAAATGTTGTCCATAAGAGATGAAGCAGCGCACGCAAAATTACTAAGCAACATACTGTACATGTACAGGAGAATATTATAATTGTGAAAAGCTGCTAGATCGATCGAGGTTCTGCTTGCCTACATGTAGGCCTACATGTACATGTATACCTGACGAGTTCTACATGTACACACGTACGAGATTGCCAGGTTGGACGTTGTCTTCATTTCATTACAACGTAGTACGGTCAGGGAGTCCACCTAGGCTAACTACTGGAAGTTCCAGGTGCGGCTGAACAGCCCAATCACTGGGCTATACAGCTGGCTCGACTGTTTATACAGTATAGTCATCTACCTCCTGAGTACCGGCATGACTCTTCATTTTTTTCCAAAACTATTCAAGTAAGTCTGTGGCATGTGTGGAGCAGTCTTCATTAGATTTTCAATGAGTCGCCCTCATGAGCAATTTTCAGTCAAAACTAGAAGAACCATTATTGCAATTATAACCCCCCAAAATCAAATTAACCAGGTACCACTTTTCTGAGGGCCGCCTTGATAATCTCCGAAAGAGTGAATTCAGGAGGAATTTCTACCAAGTAACAAGGACCAATAGGGTCTGCTCTTTTGATGTCACATATGGTTTCCGTACGAGTGGCTTCTAAAACTGTGTTTGGCTGTCAGTTCAATAGTAAAATTCAGAAAGTGTTAACAATCCCACACAGTTACAGTGTATCAGAATTCCTGATGATACTACAAAATACTAAATGAAAATACAACCCTATTTAAAATGAATGAGACAAATGCCGATTTTGAACAAACTGAAAGTAAAATCTAAAACCAGGAAAAGGAAAAAATCTGATATAAAATATCATACGTAGAACTTTTAGAGTTTATTTTATATTTTGAAAGGGTTACCTTCTCATTTACTTCAGACACAACTTGAGATACTATTCACACTGTATGTAGAAATAACAATTTATTCATGAAGTACCAACGGATCAGAAAATCCAAAATGCATGCAAAGGAGAAATTTTGAATCTCCCTGAATTAAGCCAGAGGTGTACTGCATTACGATAGGTCCTTAATCAACATGGTTGAGGTTTCTTAAGTGTGCATAAAAAAAATCATGTTCCTTCCTGCTAACATGTGGGCACATTGAAAGAGTTTGAGTAATCTCCAGTGAGTTTGTATATACCGGTAGCTATACAGCTGCAGCTTTTTTTCTTGTAGTACCCCCTTAAAAAAATGGGTACACCCTGGTGTGGCTTTCAGAAATAGTGGAAATAAAATTTCTAAAAATTGCATTAATACTGAGTCACACATTTTAGCTGATAAAGTTGGAAATGCAACACCACTTTACGCAGGAAGGATTGCGTGATGTCTGTTTGATGAAGGCCATCTGTGTTGATATCAAGTTGTGAATGAAAACTTACCCTAATTTTTTTTTTTTTTTAGCAAGCGCCCGTTCTTCATTCACCTGTTGGTGCCTGTAATGCTGCGATCTCACACCACTCAACTATTCTTGAAGTGCTCTCAGAATGGCTAAAGTTGCTCTCTTTCACACTATCATGCCGATATGTTTGATGTTGGTTAGTCCCGTAGCTGCACAGGAAAGTACACGTAAGTAAAAGAAATCCTAAGAAGTGGCAATCCTTTCCGTGTCCATGCATTTTTATTTATTTAGCAGCAGGCAACACTTAGGTACAGTGACCTCACGCTCTGGGTTGAGTCACTACTAACACAGTAGCATGTGACCTAGTGGTTAAGGTTTGTAGCTTCTGAATATAGGGTAGGGGGTTCGAATCCAGCTGGTGGCAGCATGTTGTGATCTCGGGCAAGTCACTTTACCCCTATGTGCCTCTTTCCACCCAGGAGTAAATGGGTACCTGTGAGGGCAGACATGGTTATGTTTAGCCGTTTGGGCCAAAATGGCATCAGGCTAGTATATTCCCCTGGGAGCTGAGATGGTTTCAGGAATGTTCAGATGATGTGAGCCCAATGTGCAGGGATAACTGTAATAAGTGCATGGAGACATTCCGTAATATGTGGTGTATAAGAACTGACTATTATCATTGTTATTTATTACTGTGGTGACTTCCTCACAGAGGAAAATACATATACCTCATGTTCTCCCACTGCTTTCACCCGCAGCCCAAGAATATGATCTGCGGTTGGTTGGCGGCTCATCCTATAGGGAGGGACGGTTGGAGATTTTCTTCCAGGGAGAGTGGGGAACAGTGTGCAGTGTATTGAAAATGCCAGAGGCATCTGTGGTTTGTCGTCAGCTAGGGTTCTCTTATGCATCTGGAGTCCAGTCCTTTGGCCGTGGAAAAGGAAATATAGTCATTGACAATTTGAATTGTAATGGCGATGAGGCCAGTATACTAGAGTGTTATCACAATGTGCTTGGCATGACGAGCTGTAACCACTGGAAGGATGTTGGGGTCATCTGCTCTGATGTTCTCAGCACAGAGATACCAACGACATACAATCCTGGTAAGTTTGACAGAAATCATTTCTGCCTGTCCATGGACAAGAAGCTGGCGAAAGCTGAAATCCAGTGTGATCATCAGCCTAAGGCCACAAAGCCAGTTCAGATTTCTAACTTTCCATTGGCACATTTATATGAAAGATTTGTTTCATTGTAAATACTGTGCACATGTCTAAGCGAACATTTGAAAATAAAATTGCACATGTCTGTGCAATTAAAGGAGAAACTGTTGACATCACTTCTAGAACTTTTCAGGAGTTCTGCTTCTGTAGTTAAAAGTTTTCAGATTTGAAGTTGTTTTTTTAACGGCAGAACAAACATTATTCTTTAATTACATGTATATTGGTACCCTGTCTGTGATTTTGCAAGCATTTCTAACTTTGAAAAGTGCAGAGCAAACTGCCTTGGCATATTAAACGTAGCTTAGCAGTGATGATGAGTGTTGCCAGAAAGGGGGAAAGCCCTTCAAGGGGGGGGGAGGAATCTTCCTCTTCCATTGTTGAGGACATCTGCTCACCGAGCTTTCAATGCAAATTTTCCTTCATAATGTTATGTTGGCCTACATGTACATAACATGGACAGAGAGAATGTTAATACTGACAGAAACTTACCGTATATACATTAAGTAATGGTGATAAATGTATTGCCCAAATATTGAGCTTTTTAATTCTTATTCAGGAATATGACTTGTAAAAGATGAGACAGTTTACTGTATGTTAGTAATGCTGCAGGGCATTATTTTCAAGTATTGCCTATTTTACATGTAAGACACTAATTATCGTGGGCATGAATTTACCCATAAACAAACAGAGATATCATCTCATTTAGATGTACACATTCAGGACTGTCAACAGTGAAAAGATTGTAGAATGGACAGAAATTCTGTGACAAATTTCTGTCCATTCTACAATCTTTTCACTGTTGACAGTCCTAAATACGTACATTTAAATGAGATGATATCTCTGTTTGTTTATGGGTAAATTCATGCCCACGATAAGTGTCTTGTCAATTTATAGCAATCACCCCAATACAAAATTATTTTCAATGACTTGTATTTTCTGAATTACATGTACGTACATGCTCTGCATTTTTGTACCCAAGACCATGACAGTGCCTCGTGGAGAAGATGTAAAAACTGAACAAAATATTGCGCTTAGCTGTGCTCCAGTGTCCCCCTTTCAAATCTCAAATGTGTTGCCAATTATACGGATGTGCCCACATGCAGATTCTCTTGGAGTCAGTCAACACAAATTTGATCCAAGCCAGTACTTCAAACACTTTATAACATGAAGGACATACTGTACATGTACACGCAAGTTCTGACTGTGGCACTCCCAATATAGCATCTATACTAGGGTTATTCCCTTGAGTTTGCACATGACCTACAGTTATCATGTACATACACATACATGTACATGTAGTTTCAAACTAGGTTAGACCTGTGCAGAGTGGCCATTGGCTGTACATGTGGACTCTAGTTCGGCATTGTAGCAAATATCTCTCTGCAACATTTTGGAGTTTTGCAGTAGCAGTGGTGCAGTCTGGAACAAACAAGCATTTGTAAAGCCCAACTTGGTAAAGGACTGTGATTGTGGCACCGGTATGTTGTTTAAAAAGTTGGTGTATTCAGCCAAAAATACTTAAGTGCCCAGGACAAGTATTTTGAAATGATATCATCAGCAAGTGGTTAAATTTGAGGTGCATATGGATTTTGTACATGTAGTTCACAACGCCTAATTTCTCTAAGAATTATTTCACATCATAACATACCGGTATATGCATGACCCACACCACATTAACAGTTTGTGGTCATGTGATATTCTTACCTTTTGAACTCTATATATGCAGATGTACTCTGTCTTAACCACTTCTGTCTTTTGATACTGTAGAAATTGAAGCTATTTTCAAGAATGGCGTATTCCGATTGGCGGATGGACCAGACCCTTATCAAGGCCGAGTGGAAGTGTTTGTTAGCACTGCCTTAGCCTGGATGTCCATCTGCAGTACTGGCTGGGACTTTACCAGAGCGTCATTTGTGTGTAAGAAGCTGGGCTACCGACCGGCAACGTCAGCTGGAACAGGACGCTATGGTGCCAGTGCTGGCCCCATTGCCAACTGCTCAGCAGGGTCATTTGACTACGAAGGGAGGTTTAACTGGGAAAGGGACAGCTGTGTGGTTGTCAATGAAAGCGATGCAACTGGTGCATGCTCTCATGACATGGCAGTAGATGTGGTTTGCAGCGGCACAGAGCCAGGTAAAGTGATTGTCCAGACAGTGTTCGCAAAACAGAAAATGTTAGATTTCCCAATCTTTGGCCGTGCATGTACATTCCACCAATTAAGTTCAGTCAGAGAAAATCTTCATCTCCTCTGCTTTTTGTGATGACAAATACCCGACTGTCCCAGAAAAATATGTGTTGCTTCTTGCTGTGAGAAGTTTCCATTGTGTTGAATTTGGAAAACTAAAAATGAGCCGAACTTTCTGCCAAGTCTCTTTACCAGATACGTGTAACATTCACATTAAGATCACCACAGGTGGATTCGTGTGCCGTATGAAAGTAAACATGTCGGCAGTTTTGATTTCAAGAGGCAGAAGGGAACATGCCATGATGCTACAAAGTCTTTGTTAGGATGCATTTAAAGTTTCTCAACAAAGGCCTGTTTGTGCTTGGTGAGGCAAAGCATTATTGCAGGTTATCTGTTGTTCACCAGGTTCTTACAAAACCTTGCTTCGGACGTGTACTTCAAACAAATTTTTGCTGTAGGGAAACACACATTTGCGGCCAATTGTCCAGAAAGCTTACATGTAGTTTATGTGTAATGGGTACTGTGTGCCCATTTGTACAGGTCTTCAAATTCCAAAATACTAATCCTGCTTTGCTTGAAGTGTAAGAGATTGCATTTAGAACTCATAATACAGTGTGCACATTAAATAGTCTGTGACACATCATTCATTTGCCCAGACAATTCTAGAATACATTGCAACAGACATGACTGTTGGTTTCATTCAGGCAAGGAGGGGTACATCAGATTTGCTGGTGGGTTGCGACAATTAGAAGGCCGAGTGGAAATTTACAACCAAAATGTTTGGAAGGGACTGTGCTCAGACGACTGGACAATGGCGGACGCCCAGGTCTCCTGCCGGCAACAAGGCTTGTCACCCCCCTCGGAGGCGATTTCAGGGGGGACGTTTGGGAGTAGCAAGGCTGGAGATATCCTGCAGACTTCACTGGACTGCACAGGACAGGAGTTTAGTCTGGTGAAGTGCCCCCAGACACCTAGACCCACACCTTGTACCCTTGGTGATGCTGCAGTTCGCTGTGGTGAACCAAGAGAAGGTAAGCATGAGGATGCCCAGTGTGGGAAAGATGTAAAATAGCAAAAAAAAAACCACCTGGTTGTAATTTTGGGCATTGCCTGGCTTTGAGTTAATAAGAGTCTACTGTACATAGACTTTGGCTGTATTGAGCAACAATGACTAGGATTTTGCAGGCTGGAGGACCTGATCAAATCACATCATCCTGTATATCACAGCTTAGCATGATGCAGTAAGACTTTCTCCTTGGGTTTTGTCTCCTGCAGCTCAGGAATTTGATCTGCGACTGACCAATGGCACAACTGCTCTGGAAGGCTTTGTAGAGATAATGTACCAAGGAAAGTGGGGGACTGTCTGCCTTTTGGACAGGGAGCACAGGAATGAGGGGAGAGTTGCCTGCCGTCAGCTGGGCTTCCAGTATGTTGTTAGAGCCACCACCAGGTTTGGACCAGAAGTTGGACAGGTGATGTTGTCTGCATTGATCTGCAATGGCAATGAAGAGCAACTGGTAGACTGTTACCATAATGCACCTGGACAGTCATCATGGTGTGACTATGGTGACGATTTGTGGGTTATGTGCTCCAACGTTGAACCGGAAACGCCACCACCAGAACTCTCACCTGGTGAGCAGCACCGCCATACACGTACACGTTTGAGGAATAATGTCTTTGGTGGTTTGGATTGGTTGGGTCGGGTTGGCTTGGGGTGTGCTTTGTTCATTAATTTGAATTTCGATGTCACTGTTCCAAGCTGATTTCCAGATTTACACATTTAGCAGTGAACCTCTCTGCTAGTGAAAGAGTACAAATTCTTCCAGGGTAATTTTGATATGAATTTTTGGGTTGGAATCATATGCCCCCTGAAAGTTGAAGTGCAAGGAACGTGACACTAGTGTCTTACACCGTGGAGAATTGTGAAGATTCAGGAGTTTTTCCTACAAGGAGTTGTGGTAGTAAGGGTGGATTGCCTATGTGTGGTTCTTCAGGAAATTGCCTTCTTCCGTTTTTCTTGCCTTAAATTAAAACCAAGTGTGGACATAGCTTGGCTTTCATTTGACAAATTTGGCAGTTTAAAAAAAAATTGCTGTACCTACTTTGGCAAAGCTTACTGTTTACTCTTTTGTTAACTAATAGTTCACAGTAAATTACGACTTGTGAATGGGTCAGACCCCCACCGAGGTCGCATGGAGGTCTTCATGGGTGAAGAGGGGACATGGGCCACAGTATGCGGTGAAGGCTGGGACTTCAACAGGGCTGTCATGGTCTGCAAGGAACTTGACTATCGGCCCACTACTTCATTTACCACAGGGAATTATGGTGGAGGGACTGGAGTCATTGCTACTTGCCCAGCATCTGCATACAGGCTAGACTTGGACAACTGTCAAGTGACAAATAACTGCGGTCGTGACATGGATGTTTTTGTTGTTTGTGGCGGCAGAGAACCAGGTAAGGCAAAGTACCAGTGAAATTCTACAGCTAAGATGGGAATTGAAAGAGTGATATCAGAATGGCTGCGTTCTTGTGAAAAGCTGAAGCACAGTTGTTATTACAGGGTGCTTGAAATACGTGTATTTATACTGGAATTTCAGGATGAATTTCTAATATAGGAATTCTAAAGGCTTAACACATTTTGAAACCTAGGGCTTCTTGGGATAGATTAGCCATCCCCAAACCCAAATAAAATGGAGTTTTTGACAAAAAAAAAGAGGACCCAAGGAATAAGAGGCATTTTTCTTTTCAAAGCGAGTGTGATGCATGCACACATTATGAAATGTGGTCAGTAGTCCACCTTGTTTGCAGGAGATACTACAAAATTATTTTCAACATTTAAAGTTGTGATGTGGTGGATGTACAGGATTGACAAAAGGGATGACGATTGATTGATTCATGGTTTATTGTAAATTGCATTATAGTCATGGGCTAAATTGCAGCAAAATATGCATTAAATCAAATAATAATTATTATAAAAAGACGATTATAAAACTGCACAATTTTATAAAATAGTTAAGTTGGTTTGAAGTATGACAACATTTATCAAAATGCATTAAGATTCTATAACATTCAAGTACACCATTTAACCATACTAACTTACAGGTCATTCAACAATAGTTAAACATGAAATTACTGAAAAATAATTACCAAAGTACACACACAATAAAATCCCCATGGAAACATTAAAACATCAAAACCAAAAACCAGTTTGGACAGCCCATTCACAAAACTCATCAAGGGTTGATTGTAATTATTTGTGTTATCAATACAAGAATTCTCAATAATTGTTATATTGTCAACATACTTGAGACTGAGGATCTGGCCATCGTTGTAACTTGTAAGCACAGCTCCGTTAACTTTGGCTAAAAAACCCAGTGGGCCAAACTTAGTTCCCTGTGTTAGGCCACCATTCAAGATAACAAATTCTGAAACCTAATTTTTGTAGTGAACACATTGTGAGCGCTCCTCTTACGAAGCTGCACACCCAAGGGATCAATGATGGCTGAGTGCCCAGGTTTACACATGTAAAAAGCTTGAATAACGATGTTGTGGTTGATCAGATCAAAAGCTTTACTAAAATCTGCAACAACGACATAACTTTTAGTTTTCACTTTGTCAGAATGAGAACACAATTTGTTTACAGATTCCACCAATAATGGGATCTTGACATTCTCTTCCCATTGCAAAATTGATTGATCCAAATTATATTCAATATCTGAGAGTACCCATTCTGTAACAAAAGACTCAGCCAACTTTGCTAAATGATCAGTCAATGTAACTGGACGTAGCTTATCCCATGACGGCGGCAGCCCATGTCTGTGACATTTTTTCTACCGTAATTAGGAAAGCTGTGCCAGTCTGTCATGTTCACACGTATTTCAGAAAATTGTCATCTGTTGGAATGAGGTTCATTTCACGGAAAGCAAGGTACCTTTTGAATTCCTCTTTAACCTCAGAATTTGTTGTATCCTCTAGGTTTGGAGGGTCAAATCCGACTAGTCAATGGGTCTGTGCCAACTGAAGGACGTGTTGAATTCTACCATCACAAAGCATGGAGGACGATCTGTGCCGATGACTTGACCTTTGTTGGACAGCAGGTCGTGTGCTATGAGCTTGACTTTCCTTTCCCCACTCAGTCCATTCCAGGGGGAATGTTTGGCGAGAGTCCAACCCATGAGATTTTAGATGCAGTTGTCAATTGTACTTTGCAGGAAATTCGTCTTGAATACTGTGCTCAGTCACCAAGAATGACGCCTTGTGTTGGTGGTCATGCCGCAGTGCAGTGTGGCATATGGAGTAACGGTGAGCACTTTACATTCTTGTAAAGACGTACACAGTTCTTTGAAAGAGAGACCACACAAGCAAGCTTTGGCTAGTTGAATGGATTCTCAAGCAACACATGTAGCTCTGCAATTCATTTTTAGATTCTGACAGTTTAAATTTGAGAATTTGAGATGTAGGTAATCTTGAGTGTCTGTTCGGAGCAATGTTAGCCTGGACTGATGTGTACATGTACATGTATGTACAACACTGCATACCCAGTGTTGCCTGGGGACTAGTGAAATTTAAAACCTTTTTCAAGTAGGTCTCCAACCTGTGATTATTATTTGACCACTGATGAAGTTACTGGGGTTAAATGGCCAGTTTGAGCCTCTGTTTATATTGAGTTCATTTGAATCAACTGGCCAGCTGACATTGCAGAGATTGGTGGTCACCCGGCAGGATATCTGTGCTAGTAAGCAGGATGTCATGGGTTCCAGTCCCACCTGAGTCAGAGTAGCAGTAAAGGGCAAAACACCCATTGTCAAAGAGAAAAACAATTGTCATTTCCCACACACCGAAAGCAAAACTATTTTCATAAAATACTCTGCATTGTTTGACACACATTCACTTGTGAGGGTTCATTTTTGGATTACACTTAACATTTTGCTGTGAAATGTCCTAGGCGATTGGAAATGACCCTCAGGCTATTGTAGCAAACAGATTCCCTGAGGGTACACACATTTGTAAGCTAATTCAAGTCAGCATGATAAAACACCCAGACAGCAGTTTGTGCAAAGCAGCCCAAGCCTGTGTGGTTGTGTGGTTTAAGAATGGTCTTCACAAGTAGAGTTCGCTTGTAAATGATTCTCTTGTTCACAGACTGTACAAGATAACAGATTGCATGATGGACAAGTCATTCAACAATAAAGATTGTTACATTTCTTGTCATGTGACCCCAAACATTGGATTTTAAACTGAAGTCACAAATTTTCTGAGATCCAGTCAGCAATGGTAGATTTGACTGCATCTAGCAATGTTTGGATTGTAGTAGTATATTTTTACGCTCTTGATTTCATTGATTTGTTCTCTGCATTTGTTCAGCCACCGAAGGGGATGTGCGCCTTAGTGGTGGTCGCTCTGTGTTGGATGGGCGAGTGGAGATATACCACAAGGGCCAGTGGGGTTCAGTTTGTGGTGCTAAGTTTGGTGCTGATGATGCAGCCGTTGTCTGCCATCAGCTGGGCTTCCGTGACCAACTGTCCCTGTCCTCTAGTGTCCTTTTGTGGAGCAGAGGCCCACCAGCGTGGCTGAGGGACCTGGGCTGTCAGGGGTATGAGGAACGCATCTCTGAGTGCGGTGCTGTGCTTGGGGAACCAGTGAAATGCCTACACCTCTTAGCAGACGTCACCTGCGACAGTCGCCCATTTACCAAGAGTAAGCTTCCACAGGCATTGCTTTTCCTCTTGGAAAAATTCTTTGCTTTGGTTCAACTGGATACTAAAGCCTCTCAATATCTCGTTGATTGAGTCCTATAATTTTTGTAACTAAGGAAACAAGGGTGTAATGAAACAGTTTTATAACTTGTCATGAACTTACAAGAGCGTCACACAATTTTCACCATGTTTTGCCAATATTGTAAGTGGGTATATCATTCTTCCCTTAATGAATAGGAGGCAAATTATGTTAAATTACTTCTAGGTTAACCAAAATTTAAAGTCAAGCCATTGTCATCTAAGAAATTTGTTACTGGATGCTACATGTCACAGAAAAAAAGGAATTGGGTAGAACGTGATCATGCTCGCAGGCCATACCTTTTTATTTTTCAGGATGTCAATTTTTTTTAAGGAGGGATGTAACTAACTTTGAATAGAAGCCAGCAGTTAGTTTGTCGCAATAGGCTGGTAAACAGGATACAAGGCTGCAAGCCAGAAAGACTGATGCTAGTTTGGCTGCAATGTGATACTTGTAAGGTTTTATAATTTTTGCCTTATTCCGTCACTGCCATAATCACAACTTTTGCCAAAGAAAAATGAGATTAAAATTCACTAAATAGTTAATTTAAGATTTTCGTACTCGTGAACTCAAATTGTCCTGCTTACTGTCAGCTCCGTCTGTACTGTCCTAGCTTATGAAGCACGTCTGAGTGATGGACCCTACCCCAACCAGGGTCGCTTGGAGTTGCTCTACAATGGTGTTTGGGGCACTGTCTGTGATGATGAGTGGGACATTAAGGATGCTGAAGTGGTTTGCCGGCAGCTAGGCTTCCCTTCAGCCGTGGCTGCTCTCAGTGGTGAAGACACTACCAGTCTGTATGGATCGGGGGAGGGTGAGATCATCTTGTACGAGGTGGGCTGTGATGGTACTGAGGACAGCATCATCAAGTGCAAGCTGTCTTACCCATATTACGTTCTGTGCGATCATTCGGAAAAAGCTGGCGTTGTCTGCTTCAGCGAGAACTACCCAAGTGAAGACCCACGACCCAAGGATCCTGGTAAAAATTCTAATTGCTCAGGCTTCATGTCAGGTAGTTGTACCCACTGTAGCTGGCAGAGAGTGGCATTGGTTGTCTGCCACTGGATGTACTTAAGACTCGCGTGAGGTTTGGGCGTTCAGGTTAAACCTAACCCTCTCTGAAAAATTTAACAGGAGATTTTTAAGAGGTGTTTTGCTTTATTCAGAAAGGTAGAGCCTAGCCACTAATAATTTACTCACAGTTAGATAGCCCCTTGAAAGTGACAGTAAAGAGAATCTATTGGATAGTAAAGGTGGATTGTGGAAGATGCATGGATGTTAACAAGTTAAGTCAGTTTTGTCAAGATTCTGTGTACAGCCATTATGCTGTTCTGTCTTGCTTGTTCTTGTTTCCGTTACAGGAGACAGAGAAGGTTTGTCAAGTACCGCCATCCGCAACATTGTCCTTGGGGTCCTGGTGGGTGCCAAAGTGCTTCTCCTCTTGGTTTGGTGTGGTTACAAGTACAGCAGAAAGAGGGCTGAGCCCCGCATTGTGGTGGTGGGCCCGAATCAGGGATTCACCAGTGCTGGCAATGATCAGTATTCTGCTGTCAGCCAGAATGAGGTATTCACCTTGAAGTGATTTGTGATTATTCAGCATTTGTTACCTTCAGTATTTAAAGTGTAGCTGCAGTGAACTTTTCTTGGAAATAGGTTTTGTGCAGTTTTATACTATTCTTCTATGTATGAAAATTATTTGAGATCTTTTTTAGGTTAATTGTATTGAAAATTGTATTGAAAAATGTACTTATTGCATTTAGGCCGGCAAATCTACAAAAGGAGTCGTCTTCATCAGTGTACAAACCAGTGTAACACTCGGGTTCTTATTCCTGGAATGACATCACTGTTTTGCTTATGAATATAAAATACTCATTAGCATAAAAGCCCCAAAGGCAGCAAAACCCCTTTGAAATTGTGAAAAAGAAATGGAAAAGGGGACCAACCGAGAAACAAAGGTGCATTTTGAGGTTGGTATTTCCAACAAATGCCATTGTAGCTGCCTTGTAACAATTATTGACTGCTGTGATGTGGAATATGATGTTTTAAACATTCCTGTACCTCTCGCTGGTTCTTATTTGTGGTTGGCTGAACCACAGCAGGTTATGTGGGGTTTGTTAATATGGGCTAGGGAGAGAAATTTCCATCAATGTGAACTTCGTGCACATTAGGACATCATATACACATAATTTTTGAAATGTAGTGTCCAATCGGGCACTATAGTTGAAATATTCTATTATAGATCCTGAAAGGTTTCTTTTCAGGATTGAATTTAGGAGTGAGGTGTGTTACAAGACACGTGGACTGGCAAACTTTGGTCTGTGTCCACAACAGACATGTGAGTGACCAGGACGGGACTCTCTCTCTACCATTCCATGTCACCCTGAGGGTGTTAAAACGTCATGTCCCACATCACAGAAGCCAGTAACTGTCTTGTTATACCTCTGTCTTGAATTCTTTACAATAATTTTCCCAGTAGCATGCGCACATTAGCTCCAACATGATGTAAACAGTAGGAAAGGACCGTTATGTTTGCAGCCACTGAGCGTCTCAAAAGTCTCCCATTCTTGAAGAGCTGAGTGACATCTCTTGATGTACATGTAGCGTTGCTTTCTGAAAACTCCTAAGACAGTCCCTGGCCTTGTACCAAATGACTCTCGGCCAGAGACCTGTGATTAATAATCTTGTCGATGTGCCCTGTATTACAGACATTTTCTCCAACCATGTTTTCAAAACAACAAAGGAGAAAGCAATCTTTCTAGTAACAGCTTTTGTTATGGAGGATAGCAGAAAAGGTTTACTCATGTGTATCCCTTTGGAACAAAAGCTCTTACAAAAAAAAAATGGCTGCCATGTACAACCTCTATATGTGATAAGACCAGAGAGCTATGTAAAAACTAGAGCGCTTACTCATGTACAAAGTGATGCCTGCTGGCCGCATCCATGTTTGTGACCCAAGCTATGGACAACTCATGATTATGTACGGCTTTTGTACGGCTATTTGCATCTGTGTTTGTGTTCTAAAGTGATGCGTCAACAAACTTAATGCATAAAAAACCTGAATGCACCATCAGTAAATGAGCATGTTATTTTGCTCCGCTCAAACAGTGCAAGTGCATGCACGGATTTATTGGTACCCGATGAGTGTTGCTTTCATTTGATATTCATTCTATCTGATATTGAAGGTTTTACAAGCACACACATAGATTCAAAATGTCCGCATCCTATTTTCTCCGCATGGAGAATGAGAAGGTACATGTAGCATTCTAGTAATTGGAGCTCTGTGGACAAGACCCACTCCCAGCAGGTGCTCATTCGGCAGACGTTTGTTTTTACTGGAGCTTGTCTGTTCTTTCTCTTGCTTCTCTTAAGGATGTACCACCAACATATGATGATGTCACCAAGGACCCTGGTAACTTTGCTCTAGTTGGAGGAACTGAGTCTTCCTCTCCACCGCCAGCGTACCCGTCTGCTCTTTCTGTAGAGGTAGCGTCGGCTGGTAATCAGACAACAGCTGTTTAACACACACACACGCCCACCCACACATGCCCTTGCACTGTGAACAGTCATTCTAAGCATATTTTTGTTGATGGTTCTTTGACGGTGCTTCTTCCTTTTGGTACAGCCATTCCTTACGCCAAAATGCCTCTAAAACTGTTTTCCAGTCAGGGGTAACCTTGTGTGGACTCGGCTTTAGTCCATGCAAGGTTCGCACAACCTGCATCATGTGAACCTCTGTCTTTAGTTCATGGGTCCACACTAGGAATGTTAGGTTGACATACACAAACACACTCACACCTACTTACCTCACATACCTACTGTGGACATTCCTTTCTTTTCGTGCAGTTTAGGAAACCCAGTGAAAATACTCATTTTTCTTGAACTGGGAACATGATTTTCAGTTGGTTTTTTTTGTACAAGTTTTCCTTGACTGTTCCTCTTCCTTTTACGACAGATGACCCCTACCCCAAAATGCCTCTAAATCTCTTTTCGAGAGAAGGGGAAATGTCCTGTGGACGTGTGTAAGTCCACAAAACGTCTTCCCTTCCTGCATCGTGTGGACATCGTTTGTTCACAAGTCCACACTAGGTATGTAAGGTAAGCACATAATCTCACACTCTCACACTCACAGCTTACTTGACGAAATTTTCCCGAACTAGATCCAACTAGAGAAAGTCGGGGTTTCTTGCCAGGATTTGGAAACTGGCTGTGTAAATTAAAAAAAGCGGCTGTATTCATGTATATGCATGCGCATACCTGTACATAAACACATGCACATGTGCAATGTACACCCTGACATGTACACCCAATGGCGACCGTCGCCAGCTGCAGTGAAGTAAAGGACACACTGGCTGACAATGTTTGGAGAAGATTTTTGAAATGATTTTAGTGAAGGCTTTGTTTCTCTGCCAATGCACATTTTGTATTCATTACAACCTTGTGGAGATGTTGTAGTGAAGTCCAATCGTGGTGTGACCCACATGCTGACCCACGTGCCGACCCACGTGCCATGCCTACGTGTATGTGGACCGTTGGAAAGTACAATTAATTCCCCACCATGTTTTCACCAAACTTCAGGATTACACCCAACAAGTTGTTAAGCAGATCAGGGCGTTTGTACCAATAATAATTCAAGCAATGCCCTTTGTAACTGGATGATGAATACGGGCGATTCACAATAGTGCGCCACCAAGAGTTTGCAACGCTTTGGCCAATCATAATGCAATCATAATGCCAGTTTGCAAAATACATTACTTTAATACTTAATTTTAACACTTGAAACACTGTCAGAAATAACCTGTTTGCGTTTACATTCACATGTGTATGAACTGACCTTAAGATAGCTCCGTTTGTAGAACTGCCATAATCTGAAGGTTACCAGTGCATGGTTTGGCCTAATCACACGAGGTAACCATTCTCAGGGAGTTGCACATGAACATGATATACAGTAGACAAGACATATTGGTCTTTGTAAACGGTGGACTATTACTCAGGTTGACATCCATGGTCAGAGCTTACTTATGAAGCCTGGTTGGACAGCATGATTAATTTCAACTCACTGTTGATGCCCCAGGCAATTCATGGAATCAGTTTTTAAAATGCAAGGAAAGAACTTGGCCACATTGTCCAGAATTGATGCCTCAATTATCACAGGATTCCATGATTGCTAAATCAAACAAATTTGGGTAACTGTGAGACTAATTGATAAAAGTAAGATCTTAATTTGGGCAGCCAGGAACTGCTTCGTTTCGATATGCAGTGTCACGTGTTATGAATCAATTCTTGCCAGTTTCCCTTTTGCCCTCCATGAGTGCATTGCTTGTATGGATTTGTATGTTCGGAAAAACACCAACAGCTGATTAAATTTTAGTCATTCAATGACATAGTATTTATAGTCTGCTCAATTCATATTATCTTTATAATCTTTTGTTTTTGTAAGCCTGTAAGGTAAAAAAATTAAACAATTTTCTGAAATAGTATTTGAGATTTTTAAGCAGTACTCCCAAAGAATACACATGTAAACATTTGTATTGAATGTGAAGGACTTAAGACTGTTGGGGTTAAACCTTTGTTTTAAGAATATTGATATTTAGTCAATATTGAAGTTAGTTTTGTTTTTCTATGTTTAGACTTTCAACACATATGCATGAAGTGTTCGGTAGGCCTTGGCCACCCACCAGTGTTTCCTTGGCCCTACTCAGCTTGAGGTACACGTACCAATTTCATGCTGCTGCTAATCATCAGAACCTTGCATTTCATGGAAATGCTGAGCTGTATGGACAAGCTACGCAATTGTACTCGCTAGATCCAAGCTTTGAAAGTTGAAAATTCAAAGAGAAAAAAAGACACTGTGGTGTCCGTGTTAGTGCCCAAATTTTTGTAGGCCCCTGGATATTTCGTAGGCCCTAGGCACATTCTTGAAGTGCGGTGTCTGACTAAATTTGGTCGGATGTAAATTTGACTTGCCGGTCTTTATAAAATAGATTGAAAGAAAATATTTCCTGTAAGTGTCAAATTGCTCATTTGAATGACCAGAAACTATGCCGTGCTCTATATTCATGTGCGCTGTGCTATTGAGGCTGGATAGATTGCATCCCACCTCTCAGCCAACTTGAATGCACACAGGTAAATGCAGCATGATGTTATGTTTTCGGTCTGTTTAGTCTGTGCAATTTGTAATTTAAAGGTTATTATAGTGTGTGTATCATGTGCTATTGAGAAAAGTGATTATCATGGAAATGCTCTGAAATGAGCAGTTTAAAGTTTTTGGGGGTGCCACACCTATATTGTCCCCAAAGATGTCTCAAATTTGTTTGTATCTAGAGAGTACAATAAATACAAAGTTTATGAAATGAACCGCAAGTCTTAATTGTACGTTTAAAAAAATCCAAATTTGATCTTAAAAACCTTTAATAACTTGGTTTTTGATAATTTTGTGGCCTTTCAAATTTAGAAACTTTGATATACAGGACATCCCAAATCATTTTGATTTCATTTTGAATATTCAAACTCTGTGATCGAGTGTAACTGTATATCCAGTTGTTAGGTGCAACTAATTCAAAAGAACCAAAATGAAGTAGGGCACGACAGAGATGAACATGACAGCAGAGAAAAGGAAACCAGCAACTAAATTTATTCAGTTTACATACCAAAAATAATAACTAAAGCAATTTAAATCTAGGTTACTATTTGTTTATAAAATTGAATAATTACTTTTATGTTATCGAGGGTTCCAGACTTGACTGGGTGCGTGCTGTCAAGTTGACTTTTGGTGTTCTGTTGTGGAGGGAAAACTCGGGCACAGCTGGCTGAAGCACTGCCTGGTGCACCTGGTTGGTTTGATCCAGGTCATCTTGGGTGAGCCTCAGAACCGGTCTGGTCGCAGGCCATCTAGGAAGAGCCTCAGAACCGGTCTGGTCCCAGGCCATCTAGGAAGAGCCTCAGATAGAACCGGTCTGGTCCTAGGCCATGTAGGAAGAGCCTCAGAACCGGTCTGGTCCCAGGCCATCTAGGAAGAGCCTCAGAACCGGTCTGGTCCTAGGCCATCTAGGAAGAGCCGTAAAACCAGTTGGTTTGGGCCATCAACTTGAAGGAGAAGAGTACAGCGGTGACTCGCTGTATCTGCAGGCGGTGTATAGCTGGAGGGCCAATGGGACATTGGCTGGAGTGATGAAGGTTGGCAACACCCATCAGTTGAAAAAAAGAACAGAGCCCCTGGATGAACGGGCGGCTGTGGTGTGATGAGTGCACCCAAGCATGGTACAACCCACTTCTTAAATACATGTGCACCCAGGAAATAATAAAAGGGCCATTACATAACCGGTCAGCCCTCTGGGCAACATCTTAACAAAAGAATACTGGGTACAAAACACAATACATAGGGTCTGCTGCGGAACAGTTTAGACTTAAAATACTACAAATGTCCAAAGAAAGAGTTAAATAAAAAACAGCAGGCGAATTATAAAGGAAGAAATGTCCCATTTGTAACACAGTACATTAGAAAGATTTTGGATTCATGGGATGTTGACAGAACAACCATCAAAGGTTTTCAACACCAATCCAGGTGAGAGGAGATTCCTAGTGCAATACTTCAGCCTTACTTCTTTGCTTAACAATTTTCCTCCTTTAATCAAAGAAGTATTAAACTGCTTCAGTTAGAAAACAGAACTTCACAGAATTAGGCCACATGTTAAGTTGGGAAGTCACTTGGATTCGAAAGGTAAATCGCATGGTTCAAGTCCAAATTACAAGTTGTTCATTTCATTAAGTGTGAATTGCCTTTTCCTGTCCATTATTCAGTATTGTGTATTCTGTGTGATGGATATATGCATACAGGAAAACACAGTTCAAACACTTATTTACACCATACAGTAGTGCAGCAACATGCCCCATGTGGCGCAGAACACAGAGATGCCGGTGTAAAATGAAATAATGGGACTCTGAAATATGGACCCAGTGATTGTCAGTGCACCCAATCAAGACTACCCACTGCTGTTCACAAGTGAGGCTTTGACACAGAATAGTCACTGTTCTGCAGTGGGGGCCAAATATATTGTGGTATCACCTGCATTATGTAACACCTAATTCAGGGTTATTATATGGGGTCATGAGCTCAAAGGAAGGGAACAGAAAGGTTGAGCTGGCTTGGGTGGCAAAGTGGGTTAGGAAAGAGATTGGTGTTGGTGTTCTTTGTTGGAATTGCAAAGGGTATTTTTTATTTTGCAAATTCTTTCCTATAAGAAAAGATCAGTCTTGAAAGTTGCTATATTTACTGTCCAAATTTGTAGCTGTGAGGTGTATGTTATTCAAAGACAATTTCAAATTAACGCATTCTTGATTCGGTATCATGGTATCATCATGTTTCAGCCTGGTTTGGAACAGGTTATTCTCTGTAAAAACTTTGTTTTAACAGCGGTGGGTTGTCAGATCAGCTGGCTAGTGATTGCCATATGTGAGGCTTAGGGGCTATAAAATAGCTAGAAATCAAAGCATCGTGTGGAACCAAAAAGTGTTTGAAAGCAGTTGATAGTTTAATCATCTGATGAAAAACACCCATGTAATGCGATGTGATAACCAATAATACGCATATTGATACGCATGATCAAGCGGACTAATCCTTGGCTCCTTGATCACAAGTACACCTACATGACTGTGAAAACCCTAAACAATTCTTATATTTCAGCGTCACTGATCTAATTGGTTTCCCCGCTGCGGGCCAGAGAGGATGGGCAGAAGGCTAACGGTGTCAATCACCTCGGCAGACTGAGGCACGGGCCCTGTGTACACCTCATCGTAGGAAGGCGGTCGTCCGCGGTCAGTGTACGGACTCCACTGGACTTGCTGCCTCTCAAGTTGCCGCTGCCTCCTGTACTCCTGCCGTCGGGTCTTGCGCTGGGCCCGGCGCTGGGCTCTCCTGCTGAAGCCCGACTCATTCTGGGGCCTCTGGGCCAGCCCATCATGAATGCAGGGGCGATCAAACAGGTCAGTATCAAAAAGTTCAATGCCCACTTGGTTAGACTTGCGCTGCTCGGCCATCTTATATCGGCGGTACATCAGCAACAGTGCAAACATAACCAAAATGATTGCAATAAGAGGGATAACAAATGATAAGATGATCATCATGTTGACAGGTTCCATGGCATCCCCTGAAAGTAAAAAACCACATGAACACAAACATAATTAGTGATTGAAATTTGGGCTCCAAATTGGTTATTGACGTCATTGTGAGATCACATGCCAAAAAGAACAAGTTACGGGTACCTCTATTTTCTCTGTTGCCCGTCACCAGGAAAGTGCTTATACTTGTTGGAGAGCTTACCAGTGGGATGCAAACCTTGATTTCCAGCGTACCCCAGTGAAGCTCAAAGGCAAATATATAATTTACTTAATAATTGCTGTGATGCAAAATTTTAAGTTGCATGTGCTTACCTGGTAAAATACTTGGATATTTATCACTCTGACAGATCACCCCTGCCTGTTCGTGGTCAGTGCAGCTGTCTCTAGATGTATAGCTCATGGGACAGTCAGCCAAATTGGTCTCGTTTCCCAAGCACTCCACCCTGTTCAAAAACATGTTCTTGCCCTCCAGTAGACCCCAGGAATTTTCAGAGGTTGCCCCGTTCACGGCGTGGGCTGCGGCCCGGAACCCGAGCTGCTTGCAGACAACTGTGGCACTACTCAAACCCCACTTCTGGTCGCACACGCTCCTCCATAGGCCCATGTATAAGACCTGTACGTAGCCTTGGTTGGGATGTGAACCCTGCACCAGACGGGTATCGTACCCTGCATGAAAGGTAATTTGGTGAACGAAGAATGCAGTGAGAATTTGCCATTGCTCTGAAACTTTTCATCTTCTTTAACTCCTAAATTTGTGCCACACATCAGTAGATCCATCAATTGAAAAAAAGGAAGGGGATGCATGCCATTTAAATTCACTGGTAACAGAAGCAGGGAGGGGGACCAGGGGAGCACCGGCCCCCCGCTTTGGCAGGTCCTATAATGGCCGATGCCGGATGGTCTTACAAATGACCCCCAACTTTGAAAATCATTCTGCCGCCATTGTTTAAAATAGGGGCACCCCTGATTACTAGTTTTATATGCTACGTTGTCTGCCCATTTAGTCACGACATTCAGTTTTATGACTTCAAGAGTATTACATCCTTCACAAAGAAAACCTCTGAATCTTTAAGCTTAAACTGATTGATGGTTCTCTCTCTTTTTTGCTAGAAGTTAAGCGAAAGCAAAGGAGCCTCACTATCTGCTTTGGGCCGAGTGTCGCATTCCACTGAGACATCCTGGTCATGGCTGCATCTATGCAGCCCACTGTAACTGACCCCACATTCTCCCAGGTTAGCCTCCACCCCCTTGCAGTGTGTTCCAGTCATCATGACTGGTAACGAGGTCTCTGGTAGTCTCCCCATGGCATAGCGTCTTGCTGTCAGGTATCCAAGCTGGCGGCACACCACTTGGGCATCCTCGATGTCCCAGAATGCGTCCTGTGAACTGTGCATCGGGCCCGTCATGCTTCCTGAGTTGCAAACTGTTCCCCACACGCCGTTATAAATTTCGACTCGTCCCTCATACACATTCAGAGTGCCAGCCAATCGAACGTCAAACTGTTTTGCTGTATGCCAAAAAATGCAACAAATAAAAAAATCTCAAAATTTTAATTGGTAGAAGCCATGATGACCATATTACACCAAAATCTTAAGCAATACACTCAGTTAGTATAGGCCTTGACACTGCACAGTAAAATTAATCTGCGCTGTGTACTAGATTTCTCTTGGCTAAAAAGGTATTTGTTTTAGATGTTAACCCTTATTATTTCCCTCTTTTCACATACAAGTAATCCTAAATATTACACATCTATTTTAGTCGTAAAATTCAAGATGGTATTTTTCCTTCAGTAAAGGGTATTGAAAAAAATGTTCAGTGTGGTGGACTTGAACCAAGCTAGACCTCAAAAGTTTGGAGGCTGAGGGGTTATTTAACATTTCGCAAGTTGGAGATAGTGAGTTCAACTCCCACTAGGGCAAGCTTGTGACTCTTTTAGGCAAGCTATTGGATCATATTGAGATCGAGTGAATATTAAAGTATATTGTGGAAGGACCCAAAATTCCATCAACGGTCATCTCAGTTCAGAGCCTTAAGCAAGTACTTTCTAAGTATTTTTATAAACCCCTTCGCGCTGGGAGGCAGCTATAGCCGCCGTAAAAATTGAGATCCTCAGCCCGCTTTTCAGTTATTATTCTCGGCCCACGCTCGAGCGAACACGGCGAAAGAAGGCAGACCCTGGCTCTTGTATACATGGTAATTGGTCTTTGTGCGTAGCCCAGAAATGAAAAGACAGATTTTGCATCATAATCACCAGCTTCACAATAGTCCCCACTTTGGAAAGAGGCAACGGGAATGTGGAAGGGTGAGTAGAGCCGCATGCCACCGAACAATCAGCCTTTTCACCGTGTAATTCAAAGCGTGCAGAGCACGCAGGGCCACAAACCGAGAATTTGCGGTTTGGCAGGTGGCCTGTGTGGCCAAGCGAGGCTGAAATTCTTGGAGTCGGCTTTTGGGAAGAAATTCCCATCGTCAAGGGGTTAACAAGTGTTCAACTCTTCATTGCAAACACGAGACAAGTACTGTTAAATGAAAAAAAGATGTAAACTTTAAACATTAAAACATTTTAGTTAAACATTGGATCAAAGTACAAAAGCAATACTTGGAACAATGCTTCAAAACATTTGCCATCAAGCTAAGTTTCATACATAACAAAACAGAGGTGTTAGCAAGTAAATTTTTTCAAGTCCATGTCAAGTCACATGTCAATTTTTGCAAGTCTAAGCCAATTCACTTGGTTCAGTCACAAGTCATTTGATAACAGGTCAAGTCAAATCAAGTCACAAGTCAGTTTCATCCAAATACAAGCAAGTCAAAAAATTTTTTGTCCAAGTACAAGTCAAGTTGCACGGTGTGTAATTTCAAGCCACAGCCAAGTGATTCAGACATGGCCTTGGGCAGACAAGACCGAAGTAGGAGTCGCGAACGGAACAAAGACTTAAGATGACAGGCCTAATTTAAAACTTAAATGGGTTCAATTGAGTAGTTTTCTGTTGGTAACAAGTCATGATGTGCCAGTTCAAGTCAAGTTACAAGTCACTTTTTGCAAGCAAAAGTCAAGTCACTAGTCAAAAAGTGATAGCTACTAGTCAAGTCACAAAAATAGCAACTTGAGTCCAACTGGAGTCGAAGTCAAGTGATTCGAGTCTTCAACTTTGTGACAAGATTCTGATTGTCTAAAGTCCTAAATTCTTTTTGTTATTATTTACTATCTAATGTCTGTGCAATTCCACTTTAACTACATCAAACCATCTTAGTATCTGGTAGTAAGCTTGGCATTCAGGAAAGTTACCCAATACAACTTCGCCTCTGTTGTAGGCAGTGATTGCCCCCTTTTCTGTTTACTAGGTTGGCAAGCATGGTAGTAGAACATCATGAGAGTGATTTCTTACCATGCAGCCATACCCCACAGATGACTCCCGCATCACTCAAATGACTGCACTTCAAGTCTCTTGTTGTCTGGACACAGTCAAATATCGATCGCTCTGTGCCGGTGCACGCAAAGTTATTCGCCGACATTCCACCGCTTCCTGGTTTGAACCGATCACCCATGGTGGCTCCAGTTGCGGGGGGCATTGCGAGCTCACGACACACCACCTTGGCATGCTCAAGTGTCCACTGGTAACCGCAGATGGTCAGCCAGGAGGTACCATTGAAGATCTCCACACGTCCTTTGGTTGGTTCGTCTCCATCCACTAACCTGACTTTGAGGTCTGTGTGGGGCAAAAGTTGGAGAAAAAGTGAAACTGTAATGAACATTAGCACGGTTTTTGGGGGGAGTTGATACCAACATTGACTCACTTTTAGCAAACCCCACACTTTTTTTTCTGCTCATTCCATTTCAGAGGCTGTTTTTGCCACTTTAAAAGATGATAATTTAGCATGACACAAACATTTCCCTCAACCTTACCGAACATCCAGACTTGTCTTTTTTCTTATTCAATCTGAACCGTAGCTGAGATCAACATTTTACCTCTTTTGTACTTGAAAGAATTTGAAGTTGGAAAAGTTCCTTCGTATCGTTTGCTATTAGAAATATTCCTCCAACATCACCATCCAAAAACCTGGTATGCCACTTTCCAGGTGGTATAGGAGCATATGTTTTGAGACTAATGCCTGTGCAAAAAATTAGAATTCCTGTTCAGGGTCTTCCAGTGAAAAGAACCTTCAACCAACACCTCTGAAGTAAGTACTTATGGAAATATTCTGAAACTTGCTTTTTTCTTGATTACAACTCACCACTGCACACAACTGACACATCTTGTGACCTGCTGCATTTGAAGGGCCCACCACGTCGCATGTAGTCCACATTGCACTCCCCCAGATTGGCCTCGGTGCCGTTGCAGCGTTGGTTGGTCATGATGACTGGCAGGGTGCTCGGTGGGGGCTGGATTTGCACAGCTATCCGCTTGGCACCGATGTACCCCAGCTGTTTGCAGACCACCTGGGCATCCTTGAGGTCCCAAAACTCCTCTCGGTGAGTGTACAAGGGTCGCAACAGGGTTCTGGAATCGCACACAGTGCCCCAGATACCATTGAAGAAGATCTCCACCCTACCTTCATACTCATTCACACCCCCTGCTAGACGAATGTCAAACTGCTTCGCTGGATGTGATAATTATAGAAATAATGTTGAATTTTAAATTTCAAAACTTGAAGTTCTTGAGGAGTTGTTTGTAAAAGTGACATGGTAAAATGTCCATAAAGGGGGAGTTTGTTTTACTGATACATATTGTAGCATCTGATAAAATATAATGGGGTCAGCTTGTAAGTCCAATGCCTCATGGGTCCGATGCCTCATAAGTCCAAAAAATGCATTTAAAAAGTCAACAAGTCTGACGCCTTAAAAGTTTGATGATTCTTTATTAGTTTATTTCAGCCTATAGATCCAACGCCTCATTAATCAGATGCCTCCGAAAATTCAGACTTTTGAGGCGTTGGACTTATGAGGCATCGGACTTATGATACGCACCCAATGAAATATGTGTGGTCACTATAAGAGATTGCCAAATGTATTTACCTGGTAAATCATGAAATTAAATTAAAAGTAAAATCCTTACTATTTTCTGGGTTAAATTTAGCCATCTCTGACCAGGATCTGTGCATGCACCTGCCAAGATATGTTTTCAGGTTTCAGGGAAAAGGATGTATTTGCACACTTGCCACCAGATCGATGTTCTTTTGATTATTTATAGAAGACTTTTTACAAGAAGAGAACTTGAGTGTTGAGCTAAAGATCAACAAATATGACTTTTATAATGGCGGCTCTGGAATCAGTTTCAATTCGCTTACTGTAATAATGCAACAAAATGAAAATACTAAAAGACGCATATTACCATGGCCTCATATTGCACTATTTCTATAGCAGAAAATGTAGCTACTCTGAGCTGGCCCATGTCAACTCAAGTGTTGGAACTCAAGCCTGAGGCCAAAGACAGAGATTGGATTTGAAAAATCTCTACAACGGTTGGGGATACCTCTGCGACAGGTGGTTGGGGATACTTTCTTAAACTTGTACAAAACAGCTGAGTTTGTAAATAAGATTTCTTGGGACAGAGGAGTAACAACTCTGCTTTATTTCCTTTTTAGGGAAGCTAGGAGGTGGGGACTTGTGGAGATAAGGAACAAGGGTTGGGTCAAGGTAGGATTATTGATCTTTTTAGCGCCTCATAGATTTTGAAATAAGTCTTTGTTAACATCAAGCGGTTTTCATTAGGTGCGGCTAAAATGAACAAAGCTAGATATACGAGAGAAGGCTATACGATGTTTACATACCATTTGCCCAATTTCCACACGCAACACCAGCAACCCTGCCACTGTCCTTGCAGATATACCGTGTCGCCGATATGCACAGCAGCAGCATGTATTTGAAGCTGCCTTCACTGCACATGAAGGCGTACTGAGATAGGGTGCTATTGCTCTGTCCTACGCTCACCCAAGTGGTGGCCTCCGTGGCTGGCGGTAGGGAGAGCTGGCGACACACCACCTTGGCCTCTTCAAGGGTCCAGTGGTCAGCACAGATCGGCTTCCATGAAGCACCCTCAAATATTTCTACCCGTCCCTGGGTAGGCTCAGCACCATCTACTAGTCTTAAGTTACCAACTGCCAGACACACGGTCACAAAAAAATACAAACAGTCTGAATAGGAATAGCCATGCTGCAAACTATTGTAGACAAATTGTGGTTTAGTGAAAAACAGTCAAGGGCTCATGTACGAGCAAAGTACACAATTAATATCTGCCTTTGACCTTAATTGAAATTTGGCCTCCAGTGTTGTGACTGTTGTCAAATGCACGTAATCTACAAGGGCTATTAAGTCACTGCTCTGGATTTAAAATTGAGTACCATTCCTCTCTATGGAAGGGGGAACATTAAACTAAGCATGTTAATCTCCAAACAGTGTTTGGTTCCTGTATGTAAGGGGCAGAGAGAAAAGAGTATCCCCCAACTTAAATGAGCAGAAGTGTGAATTAAGAATTGTAGGCCAAAATCTGCACGGATTCACATGGGAAATTTAGTATTCCTCGTCTTAGCAGTTAGCAATGGTTACATCGAACAAAAGAAGATTCTGCAGGTCGGGAGATTGAGACAATTTACACCACTTCTTCAAAGGCTTTGATCTGACCATCAGAAGAAAATAAAAGAATATGATATAATAACTCCCTCCCCCAACTTTCAATACTAAACCTCAGCTGCCAAACATGCAGCTGCATTACCATCACAGGTGACGTTTTCTTGTTGACCTAGAGTTTTTGGGAAGAATGCCAACTTACATCTTTCAGCTGTGCAGAGCTGCAGCAGGTGACAAACTAACAGTACAACGGACACAGCAACTGACAGCAAGTTGAACATCTCTGACCAATTCACACAGACCGATGCTTATCCACATTATCAGTGTCAATGCAATACCACACTATTGGTGTAAAGGTAAATGAATGAATGCTTCTGAGTATGCTCATATTAGATAGGGATATACTGGGTGTGTTTCTAGACAATTTGAAGGATGAGTCACTAAGTCATCAAAGCTTGAAACAAACTTGATTGTAATTGGAAAGGCTGCTCAAATAACTTAAATATGATTGGGAAGACATGTCTACATCCAGCATGAAAACTTCTTTCAAGACAGTTCTGATGAAACGTCACTGTCATGGACCACGCAATGTCATACAACTAAAGAAGAGGGCTCACACCAATTAAGGTTAGATGACCCACAACTCGGATTGATTTCAGGACTAAGTAATGACTCACCATCACAGCTTCCTGTACAAATCAAAGTACGTCCTTGCTGGCCAAATTCTTGTAGAAACTTTACATGATATGCAAAGTGTCACACCTGCCCTGAACTCAACACCTTGTGTAATGTTCTGTATGCTACCCTGTCTGCCCTGCAAGTGACTTAAAAGTGAGGCCACATATGCTGACGGATATCGGAAAAATTAGTCATGCACCCGACTGAATCACCAATGGAACCCTTGCTCCCGTAAAATTCAGTGACTGCTTGAGAGCTTGATGTGATTCGTAACTTAGTCACAGGCTAGCATAAAGTGACAAGTTAATCATGGCAAAACTACAGATAAGAAATGAAGGACATGCCCACACTTCCAGTTGACACGATCAACAGTGATCTACATGTACAGCCTCCATTGCACACGAAGGTCAGATCTCGAGGAATTTTCAACATGGCGTAAAGCGATGGAGTTCATTATGCATTCCCATTGAGTGTTTCTTTTCTCCAGGCCAATGCCATTCCTGTTCCCCTGCATGTTATGCATGGAACTACAAAGAACTCAATTAAAATAGGGACTTACTGAACACACTGAGGAAAGCAGGCTTTCCTGTCCAATCAGCAAGGCAGATTACCTTTGACTGGATCGACACAGTTCATTTTCACTTCAATTAGCACATCAATTCACTAAGTAACAATTTCCACAAGCAGCTCTACGAAAGTGGACCTCAGATCACGGCAATGAAATAAAACAGTTCTTTTTGTAGACTCATGATTACAGGTCTGAATTAAGAGAGAGAAAACAAATTCATAAAGATAATTGTGACCATTTTAGTCTCCCTAGCCATCTCTCCTTGAAGTAGGTTGTGATGAGGGGTTATCTGTTGTGAATGAACAAAGGATGACATGTTTTTTCTTAGCAACAGTGTCACTCGGGTGGAACTCATCTCATGCTTGCACAGAATTAAGTGCATTTAGTGTGGGCCTCGCTGAGCATCCAACATCTGTTTGAATGTGCAGTCTTTACGTGTGCACCGTACATCAATATGAAATTTTTCCTATCCGTCTATCTCTGACCTTTGCCACTTAAGGGATACTTCTACACAAAGTGGGCAATTAAGGTACCAGTGATAACTTGGTCTGCTTTTAAAGTGTTAGTGGCTTGGCCAAATCTTGTCTTTAGTACGTCCAATGCCTAACATAGCTAAATTTGGGTTTGAATGCAATGTTCACTTTCTCAGCCCAAGATTCACTCCCTGGCATTGTTGTAGTTCAGACCACTTGGGATCATCAATAGACCCCACAAGACCAACAAAAGCCCTCAAATCTGAACATCAGTTATAAGTCATTCAAACGAACTGTAACAACTTAAAGCATTCCTTTATCATTGTTCAACGTTACTCGTGACTGGTCTTGTGCATGATGGTCTCAACCACAACACTGATCCCTGCAACGGCTCAAAGCTGGGTGGTGGGTATTGTTTCCATGTTCAACCTTTATCAAAGAACATTTCAGTTAACCCAGAATTCCCAAACGAATGTACTTGAAAATACACAATATTCATTTTGCAGAGTTGTTTATTATAGATCAATAAAATACCAGGGTCAAATTGACCACCAATGCAACGCATCATGTTCTAAAATTTTGTTGGACAACAAACTCTTCTATCAATAAAATAGAAAAAGTTCTATTAACAAGCTCGAAGCAAAAATATACAGGTACTCATCTACCATAACAAATATTTCAAAACCTTACATATTTCTACATCCTCTTATACAGAATAAACATATAAACAAGATACAATGTACGGAAAGAATATGATTTCAAGACAGAATGAAATGAATAGATTTCTAGGTGGAGAAACTTTGTGTTTCTTCCAAACATAACGCAGCAACCAAAGCACGTATGTACGGCAAAATAGTACGTAGCAAGAATTGATTATATTTTAAACGTTGTTGAGGCCAGCACACAGGGATAAATCTATGCAGCTTTAGTGACTTTGGATACGTGTTTAGGGGTGTGCATTCTTGGGTCTTTTTGGAACCGGGTACCCGTTTTATGCTAATACTAGGTACCTGGATACCCAGCACAGGTCTGCATTACGTGTTTACATTAATGGTGAATCTAATCTGGCCATATGATTACTGAACACTTGTGAAGACCCCTATTAATTGTTCAAGTATTTGGTATACTATTGCCCAGAGAAAAACAATGACCGGATATTTTATATCAAAGCTTGAACATTTCTTCCATTAGTGTGGGAGGGGGCCCAAATTCCCCTATGTGCAAATACAATTTCTCTACACTTCAGAGGACAGGGCTTAGTGTTTCCCTTTGTTCATGCTTTGCTTTACCTCACAAGGGAAGTAATAGAGTTTGTTGTCCTCAGACATTATTTTTAAAAACTGTCCTCGGAGTTAAATTTGTGTGGTTTCTATGAGTGAGTACTAGACATGTATGTAACAGTAATACACATAGCATGTACCATAGTTGTGGGGACATACACTCATCTTTTCACTATTGGACCAAAAATGCTCTGGAAACCAATTGTTGTCCCTACAGCTCGGTTAACAAACTGTCCCAGGAAGGCTTACTGACACATATTGGCACCATACATGCAGTTGCGGTTATTGTTTCCAAAATAAATCTACATGATTCTGGCAAGATGTCAGTGTGTAATCTGATATAGGCAGCCTATCTTTACCCTCTGACAAACATGCTTGTTTGCACTATTGCTTAAATGCTGGGGCTTTCAAATTACAACAAATTTCACGCAAAAAATTACATCTTTCAAAAATATTCCGCAAAGTACAGGCTGCTCATCTTACTTAAGCAGGGCCCGTCAAGCTCAGTGGTTGAGTGGTAAGATGTCTGTACAAGTAAGGAGGATGTTGTGGGTTCCAGTCCCATTTGAGTAAGCTTGTAAATCTTTTTAAAAAGCTCTCAGAAAACACAGAGTGTACGTTTTCAGCCCATATTATTGAAATGAGGTAAATGGTTATTGAAATGAGGTAAACAGGTTCAACACCCAAAATATGGCAGGGCTTACACTAAATTACTTCAAAAAATTATACCAACTTGAACGTGCACTTCTACCTAACCCTATTCAAAAAAACTGTGCACAATGTTTGAACATTATCAGTTGTAACATGCTATCGTAGGGGCAGTGGTAAAAGGAGTACATGATAACAATTGGAACTGCTAGAATTAGACCCAAAACAGTGTAGGATATGTATGTCCAATCGGTAGTATCATCAAATGTCAGAGGATGACACTGCCCCCCCCTAATACCCGTTTAACCACCGACAGTCTTGACTTGACATTTAGGATTTTTTAGAAATAGAATCTAGTTCTGCAGATATTTAGACTTTGACACAGTCAATCCCATAAGAGCACTTTATCACTAATTGTCCTAAATGCTACGTCCAGCCAATAAACAGACCCGTGCATCAATCATCAATACAAAGTAGTGTTTGGAATTACTCTGGATAAAAGAGAGTAGTAGAATTCACCTGTTGGACAGTACATGAATTCTAAACAACTTGATACTCCTACATTCTTCAATACACTTTCCGACATCACATTTCAGTTCAAACTTGTAACCAGTGAAAAAATATAGGGCTACATTGAGTTAAATACACTGCATCATTTATAAAGAATATAAGGATATTATGGAGTTAAATATACCCAAAAAACTGCAGAGCAAGATATAGGAATTTTTATGTGAAAGATTTGGGTTTTTTTTTTCTTTTATAAATTTCTATGGCAACAATGCACATGGCAAAAATAGAGAAACAAATTTCAGTTGCGGTACGCTTTTCAGTGTGTGACAAAACTGAATGTACAAAACATGCTTCTTCCACATGCACCACAGCTCACAGCTGGTTTGGAGCAGTGTCCCAACATTAGCTCCCAGACTCTCAGCTGTGCAAAAGTAGTTACAGCAAGTCAGATATTTCTAGTTACACCATACTAAAGCTTCACTTGGGTCCTGACACAATGGTTGATGAAAGTTGATCTGAAGCAAGTGGCAATAAGCCATTTGAGAGTTAAATTTGAATAAAATCTGGTACACTGAGTTATCTGATTGCACATAAACATAACGATTTGAATTCCCCAGACTGAAGACTCTGTTGCTATACCTCGTGATTCGGGGCAAGCTTTCGCATAGCGACCACTATCTCTGGAATGGACCGGTTCCTTTGTGCCCTTCTAATCCATTGCGAACAGTGTATCGTTGCAAGGCGTCTCTTATGTAACTAAGCAAAAGCTTGCCCTGAATCGCGAGGTATAGCAACAGTGGTAAGTATGGAGAATAAAGTTGTTACATTCACGTGAATTTAAAGAACTCGGTGAACCAGATTTGGGTCAAAGTTAACTCGCAAAAGGCTTATTTTTACACTTGTTTCATTACTTCACAGTGAGACTAAATATTTAAGAAATTAAATTCAGTTTACATGTATTTTGGAGACGGGTAGAAAATCAATGGTCAAAGTCAGGAGGCATACATGTACAAGTAAGAAGTCCCATCAGCAAACACCTCAGGACCAGTAATTAGACAATGTACTTCCCCTAAAAATCAAAACACATGCAAAGCGACAGTACATGGGACAAATCTCTTACCTTCAGATTCAATTTCATCCTTGATTTCAAGTTGCAGATCAACAACTTTTGTGAAAGGACACAGTGGAACCCCCTTGAGGTTATCAAAACCTGTGAACTATTTGGCTGGTGTAATTGAAACGAGCAGCTCCCTCTTTCAGGAATACCACATTATTGCTGTGACTGGTGCACACACCCATGCTTGAATGAAGGAAGCATCCACTTTGTTACACTAACCTCTAGTCCATAGAGTTGCCCTCGGGCCATTTCTGTGAGTGTGTATCTAAGGCACAGTGAACAAATGATTTTAAACATGACTTGTAGGCAGGACATCCAATAGGTTCTGAAGCCTCAAATCTTCCAAGGAGTTAAATGAGAATTGAGAGCATCATTTGGGAAACCAAAAGGATGCAAAGGACGATGCTGCCAGTCTGAGAGCTTAACAAACCTGTGGGAAAATAATAAAAACAAAAACAACAACATTAGGGTCAGACAGATATCAGTGAACAATCTTACCTAGTCAGCCTGGCTTCAAGACATGGAGCATCTAACAATTGTTGACTGCCCTGTGGGACTTTTTTCAAACCAGAGAGGCACATGGCATCAGAGACAAAGCAGAGTGTGCCATGCATCATTAAATAGGGCGGTGCCGAATACTAATCCCCTTCCTTGTCCGATACCCCTACCTCCAAACTGCCTCTCAACGTCTTATTCAGAGAAGGGGAAATGTCCTGTGGACGTGGGTAAGTCCACAGAAAATCCTCTCTTCCTGTATCATGCGGACATCTTTTATTCACAAGTCCTCACAAAGGATGTAAGGGTAAGCACACACACAACTGTGTATATGCCTGCCATTGGGGGCCCACTATTGTTCCTCTTTCGTTCATACAAAGTGGTATCCTTTCCCATTCACACATGGACAACTTGGGGTTTGAGTGTTTGAGTACTTACCGGGACCAGCATTCCGAGGGTCTTTACTCGGGTAGTTGTCACTGAAGCACACAACGCCAGCTGCACCCCGTAGACAACTGTTTCCTACTGGGTAAGACAGCCGGCATTTGACGATGTTCTCCTCAGTGCCATCGCAGCCCACTTGCTTCAAGAGGACCCCTCCATCTCCTGACCCATACAGCTTCGTGGTTTCCCATCCATTCAGAGCAGCCACAGCTGAAGGGAAGCCCAGCTGCCTGCACACCACCTCCACGTCCTTAATATCCCAGCCATCATCACAGACAGCGCCCCAAGCGCCGTCGTAGAGCAGCTCCAAGCGACCTTGGTTGGGGTAGGGTCCGTCACTGAGGCGTGCTTCGTAAGCTAGGAGAGTAAAGATGGAGCAGACAGTAAGCAGGAAAAGTTGTCTGTGGAACTAACAAGAATGATCCACAAGCAGCCAATCTTTCCTTGTAATCTGTCCTTAAGACAGAGCAACAAGTGAAAATTTATCTAACTTTCCAGTTAATTTGGTTGAATATGACAATGACTGTTTATCCAAAAAGGACAAATTATAGTAAAAAATCAGTCAGGAAAATTTAGTAAAAAAGTCAACCAGCGTGATGAATTAGAAAACCGGAGTGCACAATTGAATGTTAAAACACGTACTATGAAGACCATACTTGTGCTATGTACCCAGCTCAGGCACTTCTAGGGAACTCTTACACTGGCTTGTAGTGCTCAGTGTCAACCTCTCGCACCAGTTGGTAGATGGAGAAAAAGGCCCATTTCTAACGGATGGACATATTATTTGAACCAATAGCTGTGGTCTAGCTGGAATCATACATGCGCCTATGGCAATGGCTGAAGCTACCAGGCAAGTGGCTTCCATAGAAGCACATGGGATTGATGGCCACAGTCACATCATACATGCGCCTATGGCAATGGCTGAAGCTACCAGGCAAGTGGCTTCCATAGAAGCACACGGGATTGTTAGCCACAGTCACATCATACATGTGCCTATGGCAATGGCTGAAGCTACCAGGCAAGTGGCTTCCATAGAAGCACATGGGATTGTTAGCCACAGTCATAACATTCAGATGCTACCGCAATGTACCCATCAAACACAAACACATGTGTGTCATTTCAACCAGTTGTGGTTGGTATTATTCCACAACAAACTTGTCTCAGGCACGGTAGTATTTTCAGCTAAGAATACTGGCTTTTAAAAGTGACAAGTTATGTTCAAGAGTTAAGCCATATTTCTAATGCCATCTTTGCTTTTATGTTACACTCTGAGACAAATATCTCTCATGGAATGATACTTGCCAAGGCTCAACTTCCAAGGACAAGTTTGAGGCTGTGTGCACAATGGGGATCTTTCAAGCAAGGGACCCAATGCAGGTGTCATCCACTATCGTTTGAACACTCTCTGATAACTAGCTTTAGAAAATCCCTGTGTGTTCATACAGTCCCCATGACCTCAGCCAAAACAGCATCACAACCAGTAAGAAGAACAAAGGAAGCTCACTCTTGGCAAAGGGTCGATTCGCACACCTGACCTCACCCAGGGAACCTTCGGGACAATCCAATGGCTCCCCCAGCACCGCGCCGCACTCAGAAATGTGCTCCTCCCGGCCCTCACAATTCAGGTCCGTCAGCCAAACCGGCAAGCCCCTGGATTTGTACGCCTCGCTGGAGTAGGAATAAAGCTGGTTACGGAAACCCAGCTGGTGGCAGATGACGTTGGCGTCGTTGTCATCGAACCCCCGACTGCAGACTGTGCCCCACTGGCCGCTGTGGTAAATCTCGACGCGACCCCGTGTGGCATCACGGCCACCGCTGACTCGCATGTCTCCCTCGGTGGCTGATGAACAAATGTGAAACGAATAAACAGAAATCAACAAGCAGTGAAAACAAAAGAACAGTGTTTGAAAAATAATGAGGCAAAGGCAAGTTTGGGGAGATTGTTTCAGTTCGTTTCCTTCACAATGCATGTAAAATACTCCAAATTCAGCATCACTCCTCGCAAAGGGCATAACAAAAATTCCTAGATTTAATGGATCCTCCAAAACCCCCTCCCCCCAAAAAAATGGCCCCACCTTGAAGAATTGGTTCTGGATTCATCCTTACATGTTCATAAATGAATGGGTGTGCTCTTTTGGGCATCATTAATCTGCAAATGGCAATACCAATCAACTATCACATGGCGTAAGCTAGCCTACATGTGCCCACCGTTACTCCACATGCCACACTGCACTGCGGCATCGCCACCAACGCAAGGGGTCGTCCTCGGCAACCGAGCACAGAATTTAATGTGTATGGTCTCCCTGGATGTGCAGTTGATGACAGCACTCAACATGTTGTGGGTGGAGCTTTCTCCAAAGAGTCCCCCCGGGGTCACCACGGAGGGGAAGGGCAAGTCAAGAATGTAACACACGAGCTGCTGTGCTATCAGGTTAAGGTCGTCAGCACAGATCGTCTTCCAAGCATTCTTGTCATATATTTCAACGCGTCCTTCTGTTGGCTCAGAGCCATTGACGAGGCGGACCTCGCCTTCTTCACCTAGTGGATGCAATAAAAAGCACTGTTTGTCATATTTAATGCAGTAGAACATTTTTATTAAAAGGTAGCTGGGAATTAAAGGATTACCTCAGTATAAACAGGACCTTGTATTACCAGTATTGGTAAACCAAAGACTTATGGACCTAAATTTTTCTTTATTATATTTCCTTGATATAGGATGTTGTGTTAACCGTGCTCTTTTCATGAGTGATTGACTATTTGCAAGACTCACAGGATTTGTGGCATCGAACAAGAATTGTGCAAATAGGAATCATGGTAACATGCTTTGAACGGTCTGGTTCTATTCCCAAAAATGTGCCAGTAGCAAAAATATTCATTCAACCACATCTACACAAAACTACTAATCATTTTAAAACAAAAACTCCAATTTCTTAAATCCCCATGATTAATAGAACAGATTTTGAACTGCAACAATTTTAGCTGTTTTAAATTAATGGTGGAAATGACAGTGTTGCACTTCTGCCTTGTATTAAAAGGTGGCTATGATCTACCAACAAACAATTACACACGAACTTTTGGAGGCTTTCATTTCCAAGTCAACTTATGGAAAAAATCTTGATGTCACTTCATGTCATGCATAGAGGGGAGAATCTAAGCGAGGTGTCATCTTCAAATCCACAGTGTGACTGTGATTGTTGCCTGCCAATCTTCTCAACAACACTACATCTCTGGAGTGTAGAGCAAAGATTGCTAAAAACTCTCACCACATACGAATCCCAGCCCCCCGAGTTCATTTGGTTAATTGATTCACACCAATAACAATTTAAGCAAAGTGAATATCATAAAACAAATATATAAAACAAATGAATATTTAAGGATTGAGGTACATGTTTGTGTGTGTGTGTTGACCATCCATGACATCACATCAATTAAAACACCGCTGACGTTGAATTGTTCTGAAGGGTTTTGATTCTGCACACATTATTAGTGACTCTGATATTTTTCTTTGGATCTTGGAGAGCCCCCAAACTGGTTTCTATCGCTCCAATTTGCACTGGAATGTTGTTGCAAACCTTAAAAATCCTTTGTTTCACTGGTATTTTGCCTCACCTCCTTCTGTGGCATCGCAGTCTATGTAGAAATCCATGTCGTGGGTGCAAGTGTTTGTCAGTTCACAGTACGATGGGATCAGCAAGTCAAAACGTAACGGGCAGGTGGCGATGGGACCCGTCCCTGGACCATAACGCCCTGTCCCATATGAGGTAGGGGGGCGGTAGTCCAGCTGCCCACAGAGAGGGTTGACCATGCTCAGGTCAAAGTTTCCATAGCAGATGGAGGCCCACTGCCCCTCTTCACCGATGAAGACTTCTACACGACCTCGGTAGGGGTCAGGGCCACCCACAAGTCGTAATGCACCATTTTCAACTGGTTTTGAAACAGATGGTTTGAATGAGGCATAGAAGACGCCTTGTTCAATGCTGAACCAATTTGAATTTCAGGCTACTCCATCAAGTTGGAGCAACAAGGATATAGATTCACACAATTCCATTGTATTTTATGAAAATATATGCATATGGATGTATTTAAGCCACAGGCTCTGAGCAGAGCTTAAAATGGAGCTATCAGGAAAATAGAACAAAAGAAAATCAACCCCCCCCCAAATGTAGGGATTTTAAATACCAGTCTCAACTGTGTCACCATTTTATCACTTTTACTGTGGAGGTGTACAATACATGTACACTGAGTCTGCAAGACAAGTGCTTTGAATGACAAATCCCCATTCATGCAGCTACAAATTCCTGGAAAAACGTGGAAAAAAGGCATTCAAATTGCCGATTGTGGGTTACTCAACAAGCTAACTGACAACCTTTGGACATAAATTTATGTGAAATCTGTTTAAGCATTCCATGTAGCCTGAATTTCATTCAGAATTTTGTCCCTTTCCACAGAACCTATTGAAAATCTTTCTATTCCTCTGTCTGAAAGAGTTATGGACTAATTTAAGGCAGTGGTTTACTAAGGGGGAAACAGGTAGGGGGAACTTGGGAGGCCAAATACCCCCCTCTCTTAGAGGTCTGTGTTCCCCGTGCTTTACCTTCCCCTTTGGAAATCTTAAAACGAACAGAATCCATGTACAAGCAGCAGTTCATCAGCTTTCAGTGCACCCTGAAAAAAAGTTGTGCACCCTAGATTGCTTCCCTTGAAATTTTACCTCAAGTAGGGTCACTGGTCACATACAAGTAACCTAGTCCCAACAGTTGGGTACCCTGGCACCCTGTTTCAGTGTAATTCCCAGGTAGCCTTGGTGATGCACAGGTTGAAAGAGTGAACCAGCACTGAAAGTGAATTCATGCACATACCTGATGGGGTTGGAACAACAGGCTCGACATTTGAGCAGACAACCCCAAAAGCTGTGCCATAGTCACAGCTGGCCTTGCCCAGTTTGCCCAGGTAACAGTCAGAGATGCGCATCTCGTTGCCATTGCAGGCTACTTCAGATAAAACCAGGTTCCCTATTCCAGATCCAAATGTCATGATTGACTCTGCGTACGAGAATCCCAGCTGACGACAAGCCACCTGTGCCTTGTTCTTGTTCCCAAAGGAATTGTGGCAAATGGTTCCCCACTGGCCTTGGTAGAACATCTCCACTCGGCCCTCCATAACGCTGGAACCATTAACAAGCCTCAAATCAAATTCCTCTGCTGTATGAGAAGACAATCATGTGAATCATTATCACGTGAATCATTATGTTAAATTTAATGAATACATGGAGCACTAATTATAGATATTCCAAGCCTGCCAAATCTCAACCTTCAAACACCCTGCGAAACGAGGCGCAGGAAATCTGTGTTTCTATTAGCAGGAAACTGAGATCTTTCTCAAGGCTACATCCGCTAGATTTGCTAAGTTCATCAAAGGCCTCTGTAAAATAGTCTTGTGAAAGATTTGCCAAAAAGCATGCATTGACATCAGCATGTAACTTTGCAATTTTACTTTTCCCCGAAGCCTCTTCAGACCTCAAGTTACAAACTCAATTGGACAGCACTCCCAGACTTTCTGTTGGTTGTCTGTAATCCATGCGCATACATCCCACAACAAGAAGCATGTGCTGTATATTTTTACCATTTTTAGTCCGATGTGAATGTTTTTAGTGAATACCACCAAGCAGGTTGTGGTTCCTTTAGCTGTGTATTTTGTGTTTCATGGTTTACTTATACAGTGCATCTTCCACCAAATTAAACCAATGTTGTGCACGGAATCAGCTTTATTTCTGCTCCTGGCAAATTAACAAAATTAACACTGCAAATTACTTGCAGAAGTACACGAGGGCTGAAATAAATGCCATGTGAGCAAATTTACATTTTGTGTATTGATTAATTCTATAAATTGAAATGTTTCTGGGACCCCTAGGAGATCATTGCCTCTACTCTCAGTAGTTATGCAGAAGAAATATTTAATTTCTATTTTGTTTTCTTCTGGTATCATTGCAATTTCAAGAAATTGAAGGCCTGTTGACGTTTTTCATTAATGCAAAATATTTGTCACTGAATAAGCAATTGAAACTGGAATGGAATTAATTTGACTACATGTACTTACGTTCCTGTGCTGTTCCAACAGAGACCCACACGGAGCACATCAATAACATGATGGAACGGAAGTGAGCAAATTTCTCCATTCTTGGAACAATTCAGGAGAAAACTGAAAACCGTCTTAACCTGGCACTGCAGACTGTCTGATGCCTGATGAACTAGTACATGTACCAAGGAGATACAAATTAAAAACTGACAAAAAGTAAAGGCTAAATGCATGCAACGTTTTGAAAATCATGGTTCAGCAAATGGCAAATGTGTGTCAATCCATTAGGGCATCTGTAGTTAATCCAATGGATCATTTTTTTTTTACCTTGAGAGAGGGTCAGTCGGTAGTGGAATCAAGAAAACATCACTTGTTTGGCCCTAGAAAGTCTCAAGATTATAGGTTTTTCATTTTTGGGGGGGCAGAAAATTCCAGATAGGGTCGGCAGCATAAGAAAACATTTTTTTCTTGGTTTCAGCCAAAAATAACCAGTCAGAAACTTTGAAAAACATAAAATTAACTGCAGAAGCCCTATAAATGGATCGGCTTCCTATTACATGGCACCTTCTTGCAAACAGGGTAGATAAGTAGGAATTGTTTCTTCACTTTTTAAAAATTGATACAATGTGCAGCCAACTGTTAACTTATACACCTTGCCAGAGATGTCACTCCTGTACCATCCTAGTAAAGCTAAATCAGCTGGATAACAATTCAAAGACTCAAGACAACATTCACTGTGCATGTTAGGTTACCAACCCCGAACAAAAATAAAAGTAATCGCATATCTGGGATGATGCCGACTGCTTCACAGTCCAATATTCACTGCCTGATTAATTCAGCTAGGAATTGAACAGTAATCACGAACACAGCATTGTTGTAGGAGCATCAAATTGGCCTATTTAGTGGGTACACGTACTAGACTGGAGCAGGTAAGCAGCATGTAGCATCAGCTCTGTAGCAAGGCTAAGTAGGATTTCTACTTGTACTATTAACTACTATCCACGTCCAGCATTATTACATGACCCACGATCGCCCCATGCGATATGCACATCAAATGCATGTATGCATGACACACGCCCAAACAAGTGTAAGCCTTCATGTAGTGCGCCTAAATCTACCATGAAAATAGAAAACTAGAGTATAGAATATCAGAGATCAGGAAAGGATACCACTCCCGGGGAAAGGGGTGATTCTTCGAAAACCCGCTGAAAAATACGTCTCCAACAGCGCAGAACGATCAACAACTGCCTCTGTAATATACAAACGCGCATTACCACATTGAATACATCAGCATTCAGCAGGGATGGGCAACTTTGGCTTTGCAGGTTCAGTGGCCCGTTTACAAAATATACTTCACGCGGACCTGCGGGTTTTGATCAAACTGGATCGTATGGCGATGGCGCCGCTACGCGTCTATACGATCTTTGGTTTCGATATTAAACTTTTGAGCTGCCAGTGGTGCGCTCTGTCCATTTAATAGCTAGGTTCTGTTGGCCGTAAGCCTTTGAACTCAGCGATCAGTGATCCAACGCTGCTCAAAAGAGTCTGCTCTGCTCAAAATTAAAAAACAGACCCCAAAAGGGAAAAAATATCATGATAAATAAAAAAAAATGGCAAAAACCATACCTGACTCGTACATGTTAACGGAAAACAAAGTGCCTCATTCAAAAACCCAAAAATTGAAAGGTTCAGAACTCTGGCGTAAGGAATTGCGGTACATTTTGCGGGGGCCCCCATTTTCTGAAAGGGGGGGGGGGTGTTACACTGATCAAGGCGGACGGGGGGGGGACACAAGCCTCAAGCGGGGATCCTGCCGTGGGTGCAGCCATGCCCCCTTCAGCCGGCGAGCTACTCCACACTGGTTCATGTTCAGACGGTCGATGGCACTGGGTATTAATTGTGTTAACTATTGCCAGGTCGGAACATGGAGAAAGGACACTGATGGTCAGAACCACTGTTCCGCGACACTGAGTGGCGCACCCTGGATTTTTGTGCCAGGGTGTGTGTGGACCAAAAGTTACTCCCAAAATAGCGCATTAATCCTCAAGCCCCCCAGGCGGGAACTTAATTTGATCATTTGATGTTCATTTGCTATTAGAGCTAGTAGTACAGCAGGTATACCATATCTTTGTTTGCTGAACGTAAAAAAAAATCAAACAAACCCCAAAAAACCCAAACAAACAAACAAAAAAAACACAAAAAAAACCAAACAAAAAAACAAAAAAAAAAAAAACAAAACAAACAAACAAGAACAACGATTGCCCACCTCCCACCACTTACCCCACTGTCGCAAAACCAACGTACATGTACAACCTCATTCCTATCCTAGTGAAACGTCGCCAGATCCCTCACCTGTGGTCAGCTAAAAAAGTTCCAGAACGGAATTGGCGCTGTCGAGTTATAAGAAACATGGATGTACATATGTACTGATGAATAATGCCTGTCTCAAACTGCTAGCCCCCCCCCAATTCGTTACACCAACGCTGGGAAGAGCACTCTCTTTACTGATCTGATAGTTAAGTTAACTTAAGTAAAGTGAAGTCAGCCAAACAATAAAAGTGATTTAAAAATCAGTAGTAAATAAACCAGCAAAATACCCCCAGACCTCCGATTCCCTACCAAAAACAAAACAGCTGCAGCAGCATTTATGTCCCTTTGGTGGATCATGGAGTGAATATGTTTGGAATTAAGAAAAGGTTTTCAAATCATTAAGCTGCAAAAACGTCATGGTCTCATGATCATCGTCGAAGAGGAGGTAACCAGTGTACTTAAATTATTAAAACGGACGGCCTTAAAACGGAAATACTGCAGTGCATTTCGGCCCGAGCCCCTCTCTAAGGGAATGGGGGGGGGCTCACAATTCCCCTCGGCATAGTCCCGTGTTTTGGCAACTACAGGATAAGGGAGCTCATTTCAGATCTGAAATGGAAGTCGAGGCCACAGATGGATCCAGAAGGCCCAACAGGGGCCATGCCCCCGCCTCTTTTTTTTTTTTTTAAAAAAAAGGAGCCCCAAATTAAAAAAAAAAACATAAAAAGCGATTTGGGGGCTTCATGGCATTGTTTTTCTCAATGCGTGCAAAAAAGCCCTAACAGTAGACTTTATCCCAGAAAGACCATAAAAGATTACATGAAAAAATTCCAACATTTTGTTCACCTCCCAACAAGTTTGTCCGTCTCAAAAAAAATTGTTTCGGATCCGCCCTTCATCAGTGGTCTGTCCGAGTCGACGCAGGCTAGGGAGGGAAATGTGTGGAACGCCCACCTCACTCGGTGGCGTCGACGTGTACGTACGTACGTGTGGCGCGCGAGTGATTCTGTCTGTTTTTATATTACCCACAATGCACCATGTAGCTGGCTAGTACAGTGAAAGCAACATGGCGAACACCTTGTGACGGAAAATGCTACGAAGTGCACCGTGTGCCTAACACTCTACCAACGACGAATTTGTTTTGTGTAAATTGTCGAGGTAACTTCAAGACTGGACGGTTTCAACGATGGCACAGTGCACACAGAGTGCCCAGGAGTTCGTACAGAATTCGTTCGGACCAACGGTGGCTGTGCTTTGCAGTCACGATGCCGAGGTGTTGGCGCAGAAAAACAACCTTTCAATGGTTGAGATGATACGGCCTTTTAGCCGCCTTACAAATGAGGGTAAAAACATATACAAACTTGAAATATTGTTGAAGCAAATGCCTAAATGCCGATATTGTTTAAGGAGCCTCAACCAGTTTTTAGGTTGGAAAAAATGTTGCATCCTGACTCCACTTTTCTCATCATATATCATCTCAATAAAAGTCAGTCATTACAGAAAGTTGGAAAGACACGAATTCAGGTCTTGGAAACATTTACCGATTTTGTTGGGAAATACTTACAAAATTCTCTTCATCCCCCATAGACTTTGTACACAACTGCTGGAGTGGGGTCAGGATGCAGCATTTTTTTCCTTCAGGTTTTTCATTTCAGGCTTTTTTTATTGCATGTATTGTGAGTGTGACCCTGGATGATAATTCTGTCATTTACAGGGCTAGTCCTAGCCTTGGCTTCCAACAACCCATCTGTCAGTTTCAGACCCTGAAATCTGTCGATTCAGTTACCTTAACGGAAAGAGTTCCATATACGGACACTGCTGGACACTGTGTACAAATCCTATGAGACTGATCTGAGAAATTCAAAGTGTTTTCTAAGCACATTAAATAAACAACTTGGTATTTTACTCCTTTTGTAAATGGAACTTTTCTGGACATTTTCTTGCTTTCTGAGGACCAAAAATAGGTCAATGTAGGGAGTAATTACTAGCATCCATATATGGAGCTTTTTCCACCTTAACTACCTGTATCCTCTGTTTTTTTCCTTTTTAAAGCAGTCATTTTCTAACTCTGGATAACTACTTTTTAAAGGCCTACACAAGTTACAGTGACTTACATTTAAAAAACTCAAATGCATGGGAAAATATTTGTTTGATTTGCAGTGCAGACATGATAGACATCTAAAAGTGAATGAACTTATGAAAATGTTAAAAAATGTAAAGTTACATTTACAGTCATAATTTGTCCCTACAGCGGTTAGTCAGCCATCAGAACGTGATGACAGGTACCAAAACATGCAGAAATTTAAATTTTGCATGAAAAATATCAAAGCATGATTTACTTAGAAAATACTTCAATTTTTCAGGCCAGTCTTGTTGAGTTCAGTTGAGTTCAGGGTGTCAAGTGATGTCCGTGTATGGGACTCTTTCCAGTTTCATTCCATGGTCATGGTAGTTTCCGTTGGAATTAGCACAGTCCTCACAATGGGCAGGTTTTATGAACAGTTAGTGTACATATTTATAGAATTAAAAATTTGTGTTGTGTTTTTGCCACATCCAAAAGGATGTAAATAGGTGTTGGCAAGTTAAATCTTTTTGAAACTAGGAAAGATCTGAAACAAGGAAAACATTCCTAAATTGTAAGAATAATAATTTTCCTTTTGTTCCTCAGTTGAAGTAGTGCCACCTCTAACACAAGACTTACGCAATATTATCTGAAAACAATTACATGTATGATACTCTTTGCTGGTTTTTATCCTGGTTGGTTGAAATATGGTCATGTGAGACTCACTAATATAGGCTAGTGCTTGAAAAATGCATCAGTGTGAATTTGCCGTGTACCAACACATGATGCATGTGTAATTTTTGGAACGTTTAGTGCCTGGTTGGGTACTGTGGACTAATCCGAGGAGACACCATGAATGCAGTGGCAATGCACTCACGTGTGTTCTTGTAAGCACGATGCTTGACAGTAGTCGGGATCGTCCCAATGATACTGCTGCTTGGCTGGTCCAACTGCAGTGCGTTGGGATTGTCCAACTACAGTTGGGACTGGGAGTGTCCCATATCGGTGTATAGATGTTGACAAGACATGCCAGAAACTTGTACAGATTGTCTTTATCCTGCATTTTCTCTTTCATCCCTCACAGCTCACATCCGAGATCCCTCGGGACAGTTGCACCCGGTCCGCAACCTCCGTCTGATCTTGAAAGAGATGAACCAGCAGCCGCTCTCTGTATCCCTGATGAGGAGGATGCTGGAGGAGAGTGTCAATCGATGCCAGCCGCCGCCCGTCGATGGTAACCGTGGCAACGTCATCACTGTTGGCTCCTATGATCTCCAGATTGGGGGTAAGTACATGGAGTGATTGCCAGTGGCCATCCAAATCACAGACGAATTATTATAACAGACCTTTTTGGTGTTTAGTTCAAACCTCCAAAACAATTATGTGAGTGTATGACAAATTTGCTCACATTTTTTTTTTTGCAGCCTTTTGAATCTTTGAATTCCACAACTATGAAGGGATTTGTTATAACTTGGAACCACTTAGAGCACCACATCCCATATAATTTTTATGGCAACTCATTGTGCCTCTTGCTATAGATTAAATTAAAATTCTCTTTAGATTGGAGTTGAACATTGTGTTTGTAAGAGGGGAAACAACACTCAAACACATGCATGGTTTCATTTGTAGTGTTTCAGTATAATATCCTTTCTTATTAATTGATTAGTATACTTCAGTTACATGTATTAAAGGCCATATTCAAACTCCGGGCTGTTTGTGCACTTTGACAGACTACGTGACCACCATATATGTAAATTTATAGAGAGTATCCATTTACATGGTATAGGAATGAGGCCGGAATGCCATTTGTGAACACCTTTCTGCAACTTTACCCTAACCCCTTGACCCTTTTGGCATGTTTGGCTAGGGATGCATTTTCAGCTTTTCACAATCTTCCATCTGCCTCCAGAATGCTCCATTATTTCTTGAAATGCATTCCTTGAAGGGTTGACCACTACCTTAGTGCTTCCAAAAATGTCCAGCAATTCCTGCTCTGTTAAGGCAGTGCAAATGGTATCCTGGAGCAGTGTGGATGATTCCACATATATCCTACATGTACATGCAGGTCTGAATTTATGCATAGCTGAGCACAAACAACACCAGGCCTGACCCAGGACCTTGACACAATGCATCCTTTGCCATTCAGCCTCAATCCTCCAAAATCCTTCCACACTGCACAGAGGAGTTTGGAGGATTTAGGAAAGTTAGGAGTGACAGTTTGTATTTCGGCTGTACGTAATCTGGTATAATTTTTTGTCATTCTTTTCCAGCTTCAACAGCTTGGTATGAAACCTACCGCGATGTGTTCCTTGAGCTCTTGACCCCCTCAGACCACGAGTTCATACATCACTACGTAGCTTGTATCCTTTGGGCGTAGTTTGAAGTTTTCTTGGAAGGGAAGGAACAGAGATGATAAATGGAATTCATGAACTCCTTGAAAATGCAACACAATTCACTAGGATTACTGCCTGTTTGGATCGTCAGATGTTCTCATATTTAGAATGACTGCATGTGTTCACAGTTTTGTGCGAACATGCTTTGTCAGTGTTTGTTCCAGTTGCATGATCTTTGTTTGAATCAGGAAAAGATACCCAAAATGCAAATTAAACCCAACCTTACCATGTAAGTTACAAGTTACCTGATCTGCTGTTTAGTTGCAGGCCTTCAAATCAAAAAATTTGTTAGCTTTTCCTATTCCTGTCATACATGTTTATATGCCAGTATTCATCAGAATGGTAAATACAGTAATACATCCAACTGAAGTACAGGGACTGGATGGGCTTGTTCTGTTACCAGTGAATAGGTTTTAAACAGTTTATGGAAGATTTATAAACACCCAAAATGATATTCTGTGACTGTTGTACAGAAGAGTTGTTGAGACCAGTCACAAGACCAGACACAAGACCAGTCACAAGACCAGTCACAAGACCAGACACAAGACCAGTCACAAG